AAAATTCAAAAATGAACCGCAAGGAGGAGTGTCTTGTCATCACGCGTGACCTAGCGCCATACCTCAGGCTGATCCAATGATCTGACATGGACCCAGTTATCGACCATGTATTACTCTGTGCGGCGGCTATCCACCAACTAACTTAAATACTTACGACAAATAAACGGTAGGTGTTTGAATGAAGCTGTTTCTTATGCGAACACAAATCGATTTATCAAGTTTTATCTGCTGGGGTTATGAAAGTGTTTGGCTGAGTAGATCGCATCTCAATTTGACCTTTCCAGGCTCTGAAGAAGGCGAAACCGCCGAAACGTCAGCAATTGTGTTCTAATAAATTCTATATTAACAACCTCGTTGTCTGCTTATTGATGAAAAACATTGAATTATCAATTAATGCCGAGGTTAACAGAAAGTCGGTCATGGGAATTACTTGCAATTAATTTTCGAATGAATAGTTAATGGAAGAAAATCCACTAGTTTAGTGTCAATCTGTGTTTCAGCACAAATTGACCGAGGAGCAAGGAATTTGTTCAGTACCATCCTCCAACCTCGGAAGTCTGCGACAGAGAGGTATAATTTCGCGGTAATGATTAATTCAAAACTACTAGCTGTCCATATGCCCTTGTTCTAGCTTTTCTTTGATGTTCGAAACTCATATAATGATGCGAAAAGACGAAGCACCTGTGATTACTTTGGTGTTGATGCATTCAAAACTCTTGATGATGTATGATTGGCTGAACGATGTGAAAAATTTCGTCACTCAAAGCGCAGATTTCGTACCTAAAGGTAGGTGGAAAAGTATTATTATATTACCCTAAACACATTCCTTCTAAAGATCATTTGAACTTTGCATGACTTACATTCGTTCGATTCCCTACTAATTATAGTCTATGGAAGTTGTCGGTCTAGAATGTGGTAATATCCGTGAAGTTGCCGAATTCCCACCCTGTTCTCAGTTGTGAACATCTGAGTAGTCCGTAAAACATAAATAATTACACACTTTGTAGCGATCTTTTGCTGACCTGTGTATTGGTATTACTCTTATGACATTGTTCTTCAATCCTGTATGTAGTTTGTAAAATTCTAGACATCGTTGAGGTATCGGTTTCGGCCTCCTTTGCCTGGGGCAGTTTAGAGGTTTAACCAGTTTGGTCTCCTTGCATGTCCTAAATTCAGACAATGTCGTGTAAAGAGATCGGTCTCTTCGGATTAATTAGTGCACCTTTCTGCGATTCTTGATTTTTGTAAACTTCGCAACAATACTTGTTTGATGTAGCGATTTTCCTGCGCTTCAGGAGCTTACGGTAAACGATTCCATCTGCTAAGCATGAAAATTTCACTCTAACTATGTTGTATAAATTTTGGCTTCAAAAGTATATGTAAAGTATGTGTAAAAGCACCTGTCTTTCTTGAGCTTTTGAACTGTCCACTGCGTGTGTATGTGTTTTAGTCGACGTCTGTAAATAATTGGCTGGGTCTTCCTCATCTCTACGATTCCCTTTTTAGCTTCTTTATCTTCTATTCCAACATAGTATTTCACTAGCCACGTAGACGACACAAAAGCATAGCGGAGATTTTGAAATAAAGTCACTATCCTGGAGCAGGAACTTGGAACACCACGCGCAAGGCTGTTGAGGCGTTTTGAGTAAATTGAAAAAAGCTGAGGATGAATCGGAGTGCCATACGTGATGACCTCGGCCCTTATCTCACGATGACTTTTTGGTCTGAGACAGGACGTTCCTAATTAGTGTAAAGCCTATTGGTCATCCTCAATAAGCGAAAAACAAAAAACGGCGATTGTTCCCAGTCGGATTGAAATTTTGGGATTGAGTTGTTCCTCACTAAGGTTATGGAACTGCCTGGCTTTGCATATCGTTATGTTCGCTGTCTGGTTATGAAGAGGGTGAAATCCGCGGAAACATTGGCCAGTGTAGAATAAATGTTGTATTAACAGCCTTGTGCGTGTAGCGCAGTAGACGCGTGTAGCGCAGTGGTTAGAAATGCTCTATAATACACACTGCGCACTCGATATCTAGTTCAGTTCCGCACCTTAGACTGACCAAACCAACTCTTGCGTCGTGTCCACCTTTGCATTGTACCAGACTTGTATGGAGTACTGACTTCATAGGGTGTAAAGCCACCGATATTAATAGTATGAGCCAGATATGCATTCAATTACACCTCTAACGATGATAAAGTCGAGTGCAGGGCACATCCCTCAGGTATTCTTGTTGTTAGTATATTGTTTGCTCATCAAGAAAACGTAAGAAGGTGAAGCGTTCGGAGTTGATCGTTCACTCTCTGAAGCATGCTCCATTGATTGGGCTTTGTTGCGAATTGTTGAGGTGTCTTAATACGTATTTCATCGATGTAGTTCTTTTTTGTGATTTTCTTTTTTTTTTAAATAGTGCGCTCAAAATTTGTTGACCTTTGAGAGAAAGTGGGCTTGGTTAAACCTGTTGTGAGATCGAAACAGGAAATACATTTGTATTACATAGCACATTTAAACACTACATTGCACTCGCTCTATCTCACTTTATAATGATCTTTATTAACTAAAGTAGAAACAATGATGTTTACTAGATCTTAGCCCGCAAGGAACAAATTCTGTTCTACCAGAGATCAATTTTTGGAAGTCTGAACCGCATGAATCCTTTTTTCACCAATTTTCCCACATAATGGTTCTTATATCGAGCAGAGAAGCAATTGAGCGTGCGGGATTTCGTCCACTAGAATGCCACGGTGTTTCCAAATGCACTTCTACTATTTCTGACTACCGTACTTGCGCTGAAAATTTTTAAAGTTCGAGTTTCGTCCCCAATTTTTTTCAATTGTTAATTCTAAATAAATTTGAACTTAGAAATGTACCCGAGGAACGGACTTTCTTTTAACCTTGGAATGACTAGTCATTATGTATCCTTTCATTGATAAACTGGCGCGAGTTTGATGAAAACATTTTGTTCGATTAACTTTTCGGCGCCTTCGCCTTTTTCAGAGCCATATTGATCCGAGTTGATTGTCCATGACTTGTTTGATTGCGGACAATCTGACGAAGGCACCGAAACGTTTACCGGATAAAATGTTTTCATCGACCTCATGTCGTTTTATCAATGAAGGTATATATATATATATATATGTATATTTATATATTGGAAATGTGTTTTCCCAAAATTACATTTGTGCTTAATGCCGTGTAGCCAAATTTTTTTTTGAAAATTTATATAATGAAGATGCTTTTAGTCCACAGGTGCTGGAACATGAAGGTTCGAAATTATGAGCCGTTTTTAAATCAGCAGTGTCACAGTGCCCATTTTTCTTGTAGTTATTTCCTACTTTCAAAACTTCCTTCCAAGGAATTTCTTCTTTAGATGTGAACGATCCTGGTCGAAGTCTTGGAAGTGTCGTAGCCCGTCTAGGTGGCCAGCCATTCGATGAACAACAGGCACTATCTTTGAAAATCACTCTTAGGTTGGTATTTCTGCAGTTCATAATTGCAAAGTTTTTTTATCCTGAAACTTTTCAGAGATTGCGATTTGTATTTTCTGGAGAATCCACACATGGACAACAGTTTTGCAATTGTTATGAATACCACAGCTGTTTTGAATGTTAACGAGATTGGTGGTGTAATAACTATAAACTTGGAGGTTCAGGTAATATCCAGCATTTAATTTGCTAGTTTCCATTGTATGTTCATATATATATACATGTATGTGTATATATATACGTTATATATACATGTACATATACATGTGTTATATTACACATATATATGCTGTTGTTCTTATAGAATACGAATATTTCTTGGTGTTGTATGCATAACGAAGTCGCTGAGTTGAATCAGTGCTCAAACGATTTCTCTATTACTGTCAGTATGACTGTAGATGAAAAGCACTCGAACTCAGACATGCGTGGATTGCCATGCCTGGCTACCAAAAGGCATACGATAGAAGTGAGTTAATTTCTACGTCATTTTTGTTAATTAGTCAATTTGGGTTCATTTAAAGTTCAACTGGGGCATGTAGCGCAATGGTTAGAGACGCCCTGTAATACAAATGGGATCGATACCCGCACCCAAGGCTCTCCAAGCCTTCCATACTTCTGGGATCGGCAAATTGTTACTTGTCCGGGAGGATAGCAGCACTGGCTCGATACATTGGTAGGCCGCTGCGAGTAATTGCAAAGGCCATATATGCATTCAGTCACCTCTAACGATGCTTAATGAAGTCGGATGCATGACGCTTCCCTCAGGGATCGATAAACCCCGAGAGGTTATCCTTGCGTCCATTCTTTAATGTCCAACTATTTTCTGTTCTTATTTTCGTCATTGGAATAGGTGCATATGAAATGCAGACGAGTAGGACTCCTTTTTAAGCCGAGAACTCATTTAGACAGTAAGGCCGAAATTTATTTTTTATCATGATTAGGAGATAATTAGAGCGCTTTCATGAATAGTACTAGTTTCTACGTCATTTAGATCGACTTTTCGGGAATGATCGGTAGATTATCGTACAATGATGTTCGTGTATTTTGCTCAGTGGCTGGGGGTTACGTTAGAAATTTCATTGAGAATCGTGGTATTTCAATGATACCAGTTATTGGAACGGTATCTTCTCCTAGGAGTGAGTTTTTGCATATGCATATTGACATTTTGTTCGTTATTTATCTGTTAACTACAGAAACCTTTCAGGTGGTGAAAAGATTGACGGTGTGCTATCGATATCTAAATGTCCACAGTTATTACCAGTTTTTGCTACAAGTTCTCTACCCTTAAGCACAAAGTTAATTTTCAGGTATCGAAATAAGTCATATTGTTTTCAAAGCCGAGAGAGCAGACTTCTGGTTGCTTGACGACTTTCAAGGCAGTTCTATACCGATACTGCGATTATCTCTCTTAAGTAAGTCATCATGAGTAAAGTCAGTCAAACCAATGAAGGCATGCACAAAATGTCGTTGAAAATAGTATATGTATTGGTCATGTTGCAGTTACAATTAAAACGTTATCACAGTTTTTTGTAATGTGAAAATTACTGTACATTATCAGGAATTGATTGTTTTTCGTATGGTTCATGCGGAGTTATGGACTATGAAGTTAGAGGTTCAAAACAGTTTTTGTCTCTTCAGATTTGAGAATCGATCGCCAGTCAGCAGATAGACTGGTATCGAGTTTCTCCATATCGGCTGATTATTTCAATCAACGAATTTTCGGTTGGGAACCATTTGTGGAAAAGTGGTCGGTGTTGCGATTTCTTGCGATAAGAAAGGGGAACACACGGAATCTGGACCTTGTCGCTGGTGAGTCTTTCTTTTCATGTCTTTAAAACCTTCAATGTTTATAATAGGATAGGAATTCGCCATAAATATTGCAGTATTGCAGCAATAGTTGTCTTCTTTTCCAAAGCCGAACAAACTTTGTTCGTTCTTAGTTCGTAAAAAATTCGGAGACCCTTTAATTCCTTTTGAATTCGTTAATAGACGAGTCTACGGTAGGGTATCTTCTCTATACACACTTTGTGCAGTTTCTTAGTTTAATTTTACTTTGCTTTTGCAGAATCTCGAAGCGCTCTTGATATCAATGTTACCGAACAACTTATACAACAAGCCATGCATATTTCATCACGATGGCCAGTGATTCGAGACTCATTCAAAAGAGACGATTTTCGGTAGATATTCCGTTAATGTTAAGTATTTCCTGGGTGAATACAATCATTCGAAAAGTGTAGGGAAAGGTTTCGTTTATTAATATCATATGCAAATGGTGTTTGTTCTTTCAGGAGGTCGCGCTCGGACCACTTACCATACTTATTCAAGAATCAGACAGGTTGTGATGTCGTGTTTACTACAGGTATTTTCTTTAATGGAAATTGGGAATTGTGGTTAGATTTGTCAAGTTTGGTTTTCGTTTCTCATTTATAGTTGTTATATTTTGGCGATACATCAGAATGATATCGCCTTGTAGGCGTGCTGATAGGATACCGTTTTCCTCGTCGTAGAATGCGCTTTTGTTGTGAACGAGAATTAAAATAAGCGTAGGTGACACCGTTATATCTTTGCCATGCACACAGCGAATTTTAGCAGTCTCTAAGAAATCACCTTATTCAACTGGTTGAGGTAGCCCATTGTTCTTGATTTGCTCGATAATAAATTCTTGGTAAACAGAGTGTAGAGAGAGTCGGCAAAGTATATGTCTCGCAGTGGTTGTAGGCTTTCTATTTTGAAGACCTGTCGTTATGTTAACTGCAGAAGTGCATATAGTTGATCATTTCTACGAGAAAAGTTGACCGTGACGTTGTTTGCTCTTGAAGTTGTACTCTACTCCCAGTCTTCGGCTGGGTCATTCATCTGGCAGTCATATAGGGAAAGGATTTCGTTCAAATTATTCTCTTGGTAGTCATGTTGCCTTTTTCGTCTTCGGTAATGACAACTTTACTTCTCCAGCGTTTGTCTTGATCAATTATTCTTAGTAAGACCGTGACAGTTGTTACAGGGGTGTTAAAGAGCCGCTATCGTCTGGTTCTGAGGATGTTGTCGATATTATCGTGAATCATGCCTTTAAAGAATTCCCTGTTTCCAACTACGTTTTTATCTTATTTGGAAAGATGAATTTCAACGAAGGGAGTATGGTGTGGAAATGAACAAGAAAACCATTCCCGTTCTAATCTTGCTGAAGAACTGTCCATTACGGATCACTTTTCTATTGAACGCTTTCATTTCGATTTCGTCTGCTGCAATGTTGGTAGGTCGCAATTGATGGTAACGATCATCTTTTGACTCATTGGATGGAGGTGAAGGCTGTCTGACGGAGGCCACATGATCTAGGGCGGCTTGATAAGTGCGCACAACCTATGTTTAAACGAGCTACTAGAGAAACGATGGACGACAAACCCTATAAGCTGTTTCTGACGAGCTCTTCTCTCTATGAATGGTAATGGTTGCCTCGTTCAATAGGCATCAATCACCCTGATTTCTGCCTCAATTAGAGCGACCACTGGAATTTGATATGGTGGAACTTCATAAAGAGGGTTAATATCGGTGTTAAAAGTTGTTGTGGTATTGCTTGTTCTCCATGGAAAAGTGCTTATGATGTACAGTGGGCGTCCCGCTTTCATCCGATTCCTATAACGTGGAAGGTTAGGACGCAGGAAAATAAACCACCTGCAGTGAAGCGGTAAACCATTTTTTAGAATTTGATCGGACTGTGTTGCCCTAAAATTAATCTGGAGAAAGGGATATTTTGAAGTTCTGGGTTTTTTGAATGAATCTTTGTTGAAAGTATTTTAACAAAATTAAGAGCGACGATAATGTCACATTTGTAGCGGTCGAGGATATCCAGTCGGCGAGAAATGCACAACGAAAGACGTCGGTGCGATGGATCAGTGTAGCGAAGGATATGGAACTCACATTTGAGTTCCCACCACGTCTTCTTTTGTACACGGTTAGTCTTTTAGTAATTGAGCAAATGTTTTGACTAAAACTTGTATTGATATCATATTGGTTTATTTAACAGAAAGATGGTTCCAAGCAGCTATAAATAAATGGATAATCAAGTCTGTCCTGCTTACGGATTTTCTTTATATTTTTAGATTTCACAGTATGAATAAAGACATTATTGGTATTTAACACATGACGGAAGGGCGCGTGTAGCACAGTGGTCGTGGGCGCTCTGCAATACACATGGGATCGATCCCGCGCTCCAGGTTCACCAGGCCTTTTATACTTCCTGGGTCGCCAAATTGGTACCAGAGTTGTCTGGGAGGATAACAGCACTGGCTCGATTCATCAGCAGGCCACTGAAAACAGATGTGCATTCAATCAACTCCAACGATGCTTAATGCAGTCGAACGCATGACCACCCTCGGATGGATCACCGCCGAAAGCTTTGTCATCTTTTTTTAACATATGACGATAACTATGTTTACTATAATGCTGAGATATTTGCAAAACTCCGGACCGCAAGTGTCTGCGGTGGGGAACGAACGCGCTATTGTCCATTCCGGGGAGTAACGCGTTCACCCCCACATCATGCGGATCCTTCGTTTCGCCTGTCTCTCAGCTAGTTCTATCGATCCTTTGCCACCAGAAATTGACGGGTGATTCCCTACCGGAGACAACTGCGGTCCGGAATTTTGTAAATACCTCAGAATTATACTAGTTATATTGCGCAAATACCCTGCCGTTAAAAAGAATAGGCAGTAAATTAAAAGGTTAAGATTGTGATTATTACTTTAGCCTCAGCTTAACTGGGTTCAATGCCAATTTGGGCTCCCCAGATTAATCTCGTTGGCGGGTGATTGTTGGTGGCAAAAGATCGAGAGAACTAGCTGAGGGACAGACGAAACGAAGGACTCGCATGATATGGTGAACGCGTTACTCCCCGAAAAGGACAATAGCGCGTTCGTTCCCCACCGCAGACACTTGCGGTCCGGAGTTTTGCAGATATTATAGTAGTTATATTTCGCAAATACTCTGGCGTTAAAAAGAATAGACAGTAAATAAAAAGGTTAACACAACTGTGTTAATTCATATATAATGGTATTCAATATATAGCTATTGGTATTTAGTTTATAACGCATGCAGTTATTTTGTTGTTCACGTTAATTCTGTTTAGCCACAATTTCTTCATTACCTTTCTATTCTTTTACTTCCTTTTTGTTTTAAATCAAGGAGAAGGTGCTACTTTTAGCATTTCGAGCGCGAATCTTCTCATCAGCTCATTGTTCGGGTAAACGGGTGGGATGAAATTTCACCAGTAAACGTAGACTCGTGTGGCACATATTTTCGTTTAGTGAAGGCTGCTAAGGTAACGTGAGTCAGTTGTTTTTCGAAATTACAGAAGTGTTTAGAAATTTACAGAAAGGCATGCCTACGGCACGTGTCGTTATCCAAGTGACAGTGGAAAAAGACGGGAAGAAAGTAGTTGTGGTTCGATCGTCAATTGACGTTCACAACCAGTTGCCTCATCAACTGAGTATTTACCCCGCTGACACTATGAGAGGTAGTGTTGTTAATTTGTTTATTCGTATTTCTTTTTGGAGATCTCGCGTGTGGCGCAGTGGTTGGAATCGTCCTGCAACATGCATGAGATCGATCCTGGAGCCCCAGGCTTACCAAACCTTCCATCCTTTCGAGCTCGGAAAATTGGCACCAGATTTGCCTAGGAGAATAGTAGCACTGACTCAATACATTGGTAGGCCACCGCGACTCGTTGTAAAAGCTTGATATGCATTCAGTCACCTTGAAACGATGCCTAATGAAGTCGAATGCATGTCGCATCCCTCAGGGATTGATCAGCGCCGAGAGCTTTATCCTTTTGTATCTTTCATTTTTTTTAACTGCAGAAAATGAAATGACGGTTTGTTGTTTCTGCAAAATTATTACATTTCTCTAAGCGTAATCTTTAGAATCAATTATTGTGGAGCCATCTCAGACAAAGTCAATCCCGCTGCCATTCGTGCATTGCCAGTTCTTAGTGTGTCCCGTGAATTGTCAAGTACAAGAGAAGGTTCTTCAGTCATCTCTCTTTTCTTCATTTATTCTTGACTTTCTTTTGAGGGGAAATTTCATTTTCATCTTTTCTTTCCATTGGCATCGATTATTACTGTATTGTTTTCCACTAATGCTTTAATTGAACAGGCTGAAGTGACATGGTCAAATGTTCGTGAACCTGGTAAGACACTCAATTGTACTCAGCGATTGCTAACAACAGATAGCCATCGGTATTACTGGTACGATACAGTATGATATAACGTTCTAGCTCAAATTATGCGTTAAAATCTATGCATATCTGTTTCCTTCATCGACAAATTCTACTTAATTGAGGCTGTGTACGTCTGTTCGCCGTGAACACTATCCTGATCATGAGGTGCTACCAGGTCATACAATTTTCGTGGTAGCTCCTCTTAATATTCAGGTGTGGTTTTGTTATTATTGCCAGCCTTTTAATTATTTTATTGGTCTCTCGAGGTTATTACCACTCCATTATCTCTTTCATTTGTTCTTAAATGTTTTACTATTAGCATATACTCCTCTGAAGCCTTCAAATGTTAGGCTTCATATTTATAGTTCTTCGTCAGCAGTAAGTGAGATACCTTAGGGCTGATTCATGTTTCTCAAGTTCTTATAGAACTTGTTGCCGATTGACGTTGAGATACATATCCTCGACCAGGCATTTCCTATCTCTGCCGGCAAAACATCAATGATTACAACGGTATTTTTTGCGTTGAGTGGACTCACTGTTATTCGTTGCTCCAATTTCGTTTAGGTGGATATCACTAAGTGTTTTGCTATTGGAGTGGTTACCGACAGAATGAGGACCGTGCAGGAATGTTACATATCGAAAGGTAGCATAGGAGAAGGTCAACAGGTGTCATTAAGGTGAGGTTGGTCTACCTCTGCATGGAAGTATAGCGAAACAGACATTAGAGAATTTTTAGTTTAAAGTAGTAGACATTCAGACTATTTTTCTCGTATTTTTGTCTTTTTGAAGTACTTACAAGTAAGGGAAATGGATGTCGTTCATATAACTTATGTTGGGTATTTTGTAGTGTTTGTGGAGCCCTAGAGAACGTGACATACCGTTTGATTTGAGGTTATCTGACTCCCTTGGACGTCCTCTTGATATGTACGGTAACGTTCGTCTAGAAATTGGCGGCTGTATATCGATTTCATTGTGGGTACCCTATTGGATTGTTAACAAATCAGGTAGCATCTCCTTCTATGACTCTTTTCCGTGGTCACTGCTACAATTCTTTGACCAGTTTAGGGATTCCTCTAATTCTTAAACAAGAAGCGACGGATAGTGATGCAGCTGGACAAATGGCAGAGCATGAACGTGCAAAAGACAAGCATCCGTTGATGTTCAGTTTTGCTGACGACGGCTGTCCTAAACAGTTAATTCTGTTTTTGTAGATCTCCAGTTTTCTACTATTATGTGATATGACTAACGTTTCCAGTGTTACTACTAATGTTATTATTATTATTATCGACACTACCAGTTACACCTTGTTATTCTTATGATTTGCGTCTTCAATATAACTTCAATGTTGAGATATTTGCAAAATTCCGGACCGCAGGTGTCTGCAATGGGGAACGAACGCGCTATTGTCCTTTCCGGAGAGTAGCACGTTCACCACCACACCATGCGGGTCCTTCGTTTCGCCCGTCTTTCAGCAAGTCCTATCGATATCTGCCATCAGCAATCACCCGTTAACGGAATTGATCTGGCCAGTCCAAATCGGCAATCAACCCAGTTAACCTGGGGCTGTAGTTGTAATCACAATTTCAACTTATTATTTACTGCCTACTCTTTTTAATATCTCAGCATCATTGAAGTTGTATTTCTTAATATACCCTGCCATTAAAAAGAAGTAGGCAGTAAGTAATAAGTTGGAATTATCTCGTTTAATGTCTTGGACTGAGTTGGTGTTGGCCTTCCAGAGTTTTACCGCCTCATCGTGGCTGGGAGGTGTTCCTGGGTGTCGAGCTGCGATCTACAGCGGAAAGATCCATCTCCTCAGAAGGGTATCCCAAACTGAGAAGAAGAGTGGGATTTCTATCAGGAAGACCAGCTTAGAGCAAACCAATACTAGGATGTACCACCGTCCTGGTATCAAACTATTCGCATGGTGGTAAACCTCTATATAATCTCTAAGGGCAGCGAACGCCTGTGATGGTGACGACCTGGGGGAGACTTTGGCTGGGCTGACCTCGGAACTCTAGATAGCTGCAATGAAACCAGCAAACTCCGAAAAATGGAAGTTATGCTGGGGCCTCACAACCAGTGGACGTAAGCCATCAAAGTATCCAAGTACAGACTTAGAGCAATATTTTGAGATATTTAGAAACGAAAATATTGTGTTTCAATAATGTTATTTCTGTTGTTGCTATTGTTTCCTATGAATTTTCTTGCTAACGTAAAATGACCACTTCTCATTTCAAGGTGCATGGTACGTGTCGGTCGTGAACTTGAAGTCAATTATCATCCACGATACAGTCAAAAATTCGCTCTCACTCCGGGCGTTCAAGCTTTGAAACTGAGTAGTGTGCACGAGAGCTTACCAACATTGTTAGTCCTTGTCTTACTCTATTTTTTCTTAAGTTAAGTGGGTTTCTACGAGAATTTTGCTTCATGCTCTATTAAGGTACTATAACATCGGCGTGGAAGTCCGTGCAGGTACTGGACGCTATAAGGATACACAAGTTGTACTACTCACCTCGCGTTACGTTATTAATAACCAGTCGTCTTATGAGATGTTCGTCTGTCATCACGACTTTATTGATGTAAGTAATTAGTGAAAGTGTTGTACATTTACTTGTTTCTTCTTTATACCTACCACCAAGCGTTGTGCTGAAAGTAGGAAGAACTTTATGATTGAGGTATTTATAAGAAAAACTAAAACAACAGCACCTGAAGTGCCTCAGATGAAGAGTGGTTTGAAAAGTTCGGTGACGAGTGTAGATCATTTATCAGTGTCATTTCGAACATTGAGAAATGAAATAAATTCGCGTTAGGGTTATTTCAAACGGTATTCAGATTTCTTAAAACTGCGCCACCAGTGAATCGATTCAAGACGTAAACGATGAGGCAAGTATTTAATTTACTGTTCAGCGTGGTTCGGAACATGTGAAAATCACGGCAAAGTGTAGCATTGTATGGAATGAGAATTATGAAGACTGTCGCCAAATGTGCGTACGACGAAGCGACGTGAAACATTGGAGCTGTCCATTTCGCATTGATCGCATCGGATCGTTTCATGTAACAATGAGGTAAACTGGAACTAGTTGTTCTACTCCTTTTTTACCTATTTGGAGACTTTTTTGGACCCTTGTGTTAGTCTACCCTATCCTCCGTTACCTTCAAAGTTAGCAGTCTTTCGACAGATTATTATCCCAGTAAGATAAATCACTCAACTTCGACCACTTTGCATCAATGCAGCGAAGAACTACCACTTGTAGAGGTTGGCGTTCAAATTCTGTTTTAGCTCTACCAACACCTAGGATGTTGTAATGTGCTAGTCTCAGAATACAGATGGCGTCAATTTACAAACGTGTTGATCGGTTTTTTGCTGAGCTGACTCTTTTTCGCTACTGGTTGTACAGAAGGCAAGGAGCGTGTTGTCCTCACAGTGAAGTCGGTCTTATATTCAGTCACCATATATTTTAGAAAATATTGTTAGTACAGGCGAAGCAACAAAGATTCATGGATCGTGCGGACCGTTCTTTCTCGGATCGTGAACGATCTTCACAGCTTATATCGCTGTCAATCTAACACCCGAACCAAATCCGTATCGTCCCGTTCGTTTGTAGTTTCCAACATAAATAACCAGGTGCATTGTAGAACTCTTTACATCTACATTCTCATGCGAAGTTGATCGCAAAGCGTGATGGTCATTTTATCCACCGTCTATTCGGTATTACTTTTTCCACCGCACATCCTGTTTCCACTATGTTTTTATATCCATGCCATAGAATTTCCTAGATCTTATTCTAACAACTAGAAATCGCAGGATACGAGCATGAAAAAAGTTCTATATATGGAAAAAAGTCTGTTTTCTGCGAAGACTTATGTTCTAAATTTGCGTTAATCGATGTCGAATACCAGAGCCGTCTACATGTTATCAGATTGTTTCACTTCGATTTTTTTTTTCACTGGATAAGGGACTGTTTTATCCCGTCTCGACAAATTTTCCCTTACATCGGGATTAATGAAGGAGAGTGAATAGTGGAAGGAGCTGATAATTTCATCGCTATCCTATAACAAGATGGGTCCCATATTTAAATTAGTGTTTATTATTGCAAAATAGGAATAATTGTTCAAGTAAAGATATAACTACAGGTTAACCAATAATTAATAACACTAGAATGTTTTAGAGATGCTGATGAAACGCCAAGATTTGTTCGTGTCGAGATTATTTTGAACAGTGCTGTGTTTTGTGTGACGTTCACTAATGCTGAATGCTATCCTCCGCCGATTCGAATAGAAAATCATTCTAATGTGAGAGTTCTAACAATATCGTTCGTACTCTGGTACTGTTTAGGAAAACCTAGTTAAGGTACCAGTTCTATATCAGCAGCAATCAGAAAGCCCTATAGGGCAACATCTTCGAACGATATGCAAGGCAAAGAGCCATGTAGACTATGCGTGGGATGATCTCTACGGAAATAGACGGATTGTGCTGCAGGTTGAAATAACTGCGTTTCTTCTCGTTGCGGTTTGCGGAATATTTTGGTTTACATTCTTAACCCATTTATTTACTGCCTTTTTCTTTTTAATGGCAGGGTATGTTGCGAAATATAACTCGTATATAATGCTGAGATATTTGCAAAACTCCGGACCGCAAGTGTATGCGGTGCACTTCACCACCACACCATTCGGGTTCTTCGTTTTGCCTGTCTCTCAGCTAGTTCTATTGATCTTTTTGCCATCAGCAATCACCCTTCAAAGGGGTTGATCTGGGGAGCCCAAATCGGCATTGAACCCAGTTAAGCTGAGGCTTAGTTTTAATCACAATCTTAACCCTTTTATTTACTGCCTTTTTCTTTTTAATGGCAGGGTATGTTGATTGCTGATGGCAAAAGATCGATAGAACTAGCTGAGAGACAGGCAAAACGAAGGACCCGAATGGTGTAGTGGTGAAGTGCGCTACTCCCCGGTAAGGACAGTAGCGCGTTAGTTCCCCATCGCATACACCTGCGGTCTGGAGTTTTGCAAATATCTCAGCATTATATACGAGTTATATTTTGTTTTAGTAATTTCCGTATGGTTTCATTGTCGACCAGCCACTCCAATCTGTTAGATCATTTTGATTTTCAATTCTGGGAAATTCTAATAAAGTTAGTTTTTTATTTTAACTTAGGTGTATGAGAACAAAAGTCATGTTTACGATCCATCTCTACCAGGAATAGGGCCACAACTTGTATATGAGAATCACGTATACCTCAAACTGGCAGCATCCTTTAAGAGGTTCGTGGTGTTAGGATTTCGGCTCTTAATCGGTTTTGAGTCATATAGAAAGTTCTCCGATTGTGGCGTTATCTTTTTTCCGTTTATTGGTTTTTTTTTCTTTTTTCATTTGAATAGAGGCGCATGTAGCGGAGTGGTCGGAGGCGCCGTGCGATACGCATGGGGTCGATCCGCGCGTCCCTGGCCCACCAAACCTTCCAACCCTCCGGGGTCGGCAAATTGGTACCAGACTTATCTGGGAGGATAGCAGCACTGGCTCGATACATCGGTAACCAGCCGCGAATCATTGTAAAGGCCAGATATGCATCTAATCACCTCCAAAGGGTGCTTAATGAAGTCGAATACATGGCACATCCCCCAGGGATTGACCAACGCCGAGGGCTTTATTTTATCCTTTTAATCATTTGAATACGTTGGGCTTTGAAAAGTCGGAAAGATTTGCTCGTTATCATGTTCTGCCATGTGGTTATAATGATAATATTGCTTATTATAGTGCCGCAAACCTTAAACGAACAGATGAGTGCGAGTTAGTTCTTGAAACTATGCAAAAGGGAAAGGTAATGCTTAACAAGCAGAACAGAATCGATGCAAAGTGAGTAGATTTTTCCTTCCTTGTTTTCTTTTTCATTTTATTATTTCCTTTTTGATTTATAAATTGGGCATGGATCGTATTTGAAAACTAGTTGGCTGCTGCGATGAAATGTGATGGCACCAATTCAAATTTTTTACAGCAATGGTAATCAGTTGTGGTCTCTTTGCAAAGATGGCTGCATAGAGAACATAGGAATGTCGTACCGCTCACGTACACGAGTTGTAAGTGAAGTTTTCAAGTATGAAACTATTAGGTGGATTCTTGTACTGTTAGGTTCTCGATGTTCTTGAACGCATGGGCTTTCAACTTATGATGAAAGAGCGGTCATCTTCACGCGATCGATTCCAAAAATGGAATTTATCACCGGTTCGTTGGATTATTCTGTGATTTTATCATTAGTCATACATTAGGAAATTTGTCCAGTGAGCCTGCAGACCGTGAGTTTTGAATAAGTTGAGGAAACCACATCTTTCAATAGATATGATTTCTTATAATAATTAACTCGGAAACGTTCTGCATATGAAGTCTGTAGCGTTATGTAGTTTGTGCTTAATAAATAATTACATTTTCCTTTATTTTCCTTTTTTCCGATCTCTGCTGGTTATAGTCTACTGGTTTTCATAATGACACGTTCGAAACAATTGATATTTGACACCTAGGCATATATGGCAGCGTGATCAAATAAAGGTCAATTTTTCCACTGTCATCAAATACTTGATATAAGAACGATGTCATTACTAAAGTGGAGATGGTGCGAGTAGCAACCATCGACTCTCCATATTGTTATCCCATCGTCTTTGGCATGAAATTTTCAAAAATGACTGTGAACAATTTCGACGACGTGGTCTCACTCTATCGAATCTTTCTCTTTATGTCAATGTTAATGTCGTTGTAGAATAGCAAAGTTCTGACTCTGCAGTCGTTGAATTGCTAACGAATGTTCTTAGTGTTTTGAGCTGAGAAACCCGCGTTGACCAATACTTTCGTTAAATCTTTTGTCTCAGCTGTGTCGAGGACTTCTTGAAGCGAATAGGAATGAAACAAGACCTTATTCTTTCGCAGTACTTCAGTGAGTTCTATGGATTTGACGCACACTGCTGAGTAGTTTGGAAATCGTGTTCCTTGGGTGGTTTTCCGTCGTTCAGCGTCTTGTCATTCTTTTCGAGAATAACTTGAGTAAAAAGCTGGTAGATGACAGACCGTACACTCGACAATAACTACCGAAGTTGTTGTCTTCTTTCTTTTGCGAAAACACGACTTTCCTAATCCTCGTTTAACTAGGAACCTTTCGCTATGACATGTGATGAGCAGATCCAGTGTTTTGATGAGGAGTGTCAGGAAATTCTTCCATCTTGGCAGTCTAATTCTATCCGAACCGACTGTTTTACAACCATAATGATGAAGAGATATTTGCCCAACTACGGACCGCAGGTATCTTTGGTGGGCAACGAACGCGTTATTGCCCATTCCGGGGGCTAACGCATGCACTACTACACCGTGCCGGTCCTTCGTTTCCACTTTCTCTGTTTTTTTTAACCTGTAGTTGGTATCAGCAATCAGCCGTCAACGAGATTGATCTGAGGTGAAGAAATTGAACATTGAACTCTCTTAAGCTGAACCTGTAGTTGAAATTACAATGTTAACTATTATTTTCTGCCTACTACAGTTTTTTCCGCAGGGTATTATGTGAAGTGCAACCATAATGATGCTGAGGTATAAAACTAGCTGAGAGACAAACCATAGTCTCCAGAAAGGGTAATAGCGCATTCGTACTTCACCGCAGACACATGCGGTCTGGAACTTTACAAATACCTCAGCATCATTATGGTTGTATTTCACATAATACCCTGCCGTGAAAAATTGTAGTAGGCAGTAAATAAAAAGTTAACATGTGTTATACAGTTCATCACAGACGAGATAACCTCTCTATCGTAAAAGGGGCAGTTGGAATAACACATCCATCTTTGATCCGGCGTAGGTCGAATTCTATGCAGGTGTAGACATACAGTGAATCCCCAAAAATTCACTTGCTTCTCAAGGCGTCTACAGGTTTGCTTTTCTTCCGTATTCAACACCTTGTCCTTCACATTTGGTGGCGCCATGTATCTAGACGACCGACGACGTGCTTATCCCTCTCAATATATATATATATATATATATATATATATATATATGTGAGTGCATATATATGTGTATGTATATATCTTTATATGCATATACACATATATGCATGTATATGCGTATGTATATTAAGTATATGTGTACATATACATATATATGCGTATACATGTAGATGTACATATATACATATATGTATATATATCCATGTATATAAAGGACAGTGCGGTGGTAGTAATTCCTATCACGAGAACGATTCTGGTTCGACCTCACCGTGGGCTCACCAAGGCTCTCTTTCCTCCTTGATCGGGAAATTGGTACCAAACATGTCTGGAAAAAGTTCACTCTCTGCAATCCAATTGGGAACGTTCTATCTCAGTTTTCTCAAAACTCCAAGGAGAATTGACTCGATCAGGATTCTACGCCATTCATGACGAAGGAAAGATCCTGAAGCAGGAGCCCAACCCTTCTCGATAAAGTCGGTAGACCATCGTGGACGATGAATGCGAGGAAACGAATGAAGTGCACGGTGTGTTAGGATACCCATACTACACGTGAAGTACAGGGTCAAATGTAAACATGTATATATATATATATATATATATGCATGCATATACACTTAGGTGCATATATACGCATATGTGTGCATATATATGTACACATGTGTATATGTATGTATAGATGATGGACAACTTCAAACGTCAAGTATATATATATATATATATATATATATATATATATATATAACGCCATTTGATAACATCCATATCTACCCTTACAATAACTTGCATTGACCTGCCCATGTATCATTTCAAAGCTGTTATCTTCCCAGACGAGTTTAATACCAATTTGCCGTCTGCGGTTACACAGAAAGCTTGGCGAACCCTAGGCGCGTGGTAGAACCAACCAATTACTTGTGCATTGCAGCGACCTATACACGAATGTTTGTATATTTATTTCATTGGTCTGGAATCGTTTATTCAGGATGGACAACTATGGTGTCAAGGTCTTCCCGATATGGCAGTTACACATCGAGCTCCTGACATTTTGCTTTCAAAGTGGGGAGGTAACAGCAGTAACGTCAACATCTCTTCTCAGGTAAGATATTGGTTTGGTTTCTACACGTCGTTGTTTTACTTCTAGGTTAATGTTTAGTTTATCGTTTCGAAACGTTCACGCCAATGCTTTCACATATTTGTAAATTTTTTCCTTTTTCGAAAGAGAAAACTGAAAATAATTGAAGGGTATCCGACTTTGTCATATTACCTAGTTGTGCGTTACCTGAAGCATTCTGATTGAATATGCAGGTGATATTGTTTTGGGTTTATGAGTGCTCAGCAGTAACCTCCTAAAGGCAATTATTGGATAAAGGATATGCAATTATTGTTTTATTCAATAGGCACTTCTTCATCAAAGTGTCTTTAAAGTTTTATCAAGCCGCTTTCACAAAGGAAATCTAGGTGTGGGAAAAACAGCCACAACGACTTGGCAGTGGAACGCTAGAAGTGCAATGTCTGCACAACGGACCAACTTTGGTGAGTTGTTTGGTCTAGTAAAGTTTTTCTGAGCTTTGATATCTATCGTCATATTTGGACACAAGGAAGCTGTTAGCAGTTTTGTTTATTTCAGGTTGTTAGCATAACAGATCGCGAAGATCGTGCACGTGCGATGTCACTGAATGCAATGCCGAAATCAGTCGCTTCTGGTGAGCGTGACATCAATTTTATTTTGGAACTCCGTGCTTTAAAGTGTCCGTTGTGAATTTAAACTTCTGTTGTAAACTAATACAAATGACTACGATTATTTAATCGTTTTTGAGTAGTTTTTCAGTTTTACTGGAGTTTAATATGTCGATGAGAGCCGGAATTGGTATATCGTTGGTTAATGGCTCATATGAGGAACTCATATATGCCCGATTCGAAGGAATCGCACTAAGTGCACGTCATCTCGACGGAACCTACCAGCTGAGCGGAAGTGTGGACTCCATTCAGGTGTTTAGTCATTTTTCAAAAATAGCAATGGTTTAGGTGTGTGATTTCTTGGAAATGTGTTCCTATTTGACTACCAGAACTCTACTCTTCTGGTGAAATTTCTTGTTGTGTGATTCTATGATTCTAGGCAGCAAATAGGAGAACTGAGATAAACACACCACGCTATTTTCGTAATGATGTTGAAGGTGGTCCAGATTTCCTAGGTTTGGGGCGGAAATACTCCTTCGTTTGAATTTTACTCAAAGAACGCAGGGATGCTGAGATATGAGCATAACTCGGAATCTCAAGTAAGCTTCAAACCCGCGATTACCCTTTCCGGGAGCTCACGTGGCCTCCACCACACTGACCTTTTTTTGCACTTACTTGTCGCAGCTAATTTTTTTTTTTGCTTAAGTAGCTATATCAGAAATGAACCGTTAACAGCAATGATCTGGGAGACACAAATCGGCGTTGAGCCAAGTTAAGCTAAAGCTGCAGTCGAAATCACATTGTTCTAACTTTTATTTACTGCCTATTCTTTTGTTTTCATGGCAAGATATCATGCTGACCCGTTGACGGGTGATTCCTGATACTATCGCTGGAGTAAAAAAAACTAGTTAACTGAAAAGCAAAGCATAAACCTCGATTGAGTGGTGGAAAGCACGTGAGTCGCCAGAGATGGTTGCCACAGGTTTGAAGCCAAGCAGAGATTCCGAGTTTGCCCTTATCTCAGCATTCATGTGCCTAAATTTCATATAGTATACCCTGTCGTGGGAAAAGAATAGGAAGCAAATAAGAGTAAAAACATTGCTCAAAGAACTCATACACATTTTTTATTATGATCTCTTTACTTTGTACAATGTTTTTGTTCAGGTTGACAATCAGCTCTTAAATTCGGATACATGGCAAGTACTAAATTGTCTGCCGGAACCACTTGGATCAGAAGATGATGGAAGTTCTGTGTGGATCGACGGTGGTATACCAACAGGAGTGTGTTTTCAGGGCTCTTTATGTCTCGTTTATTTTCTTTTCATTATGATGAGGAAGCGATTATGCAACGATCATACTTACTTGGATACTTGGATAGTCCCTCTTCACTAGTCATGCGGGCCCCGGCAAAATCTCCGTTCTTCAGAGATTTACTAGTTTTGCCATTGTGGTTTTCTGGAGTTACGAGGACAACCTGACCAAAGTCTGCCCCACGTCATCACCACCACAGACAGTCGCCGCCCATGTGGATCAGAGGGAAATTTGCCACCATGCGACTAGTTTGATACCAGGACGGTGGTGGATCCTGGCATTGGTTTAATCTTAGTTGGGCTTCCAGATGGAAACGCCGGACTCCTTCTTAGCTTGGTAGAACTTGCTGGAGAGGTGGATCTCTCCATTGTGCATCGTAGTCCGATAGTCAGGAAACACATCCCAGCCACGATGTGGCGGTAAACCGTTGGGAGGATTCAAAGACCATAGCAGTAATAATAGCACAATTGGTTCGAATCATAATTTCTTTCTTCTGTAACGACGTTCTGCTTTTTTCCTTTCTCAGGACTTATGTTACTCCTTTCCTCCTAACGGTTTACCGCCTCATCGTGGCTGGGAGGTGTTCCTGGGTGTCGGACTGCGATGTACAGCGGGGGGATTCGTCTTCTGGCAGGGTCTCCCAAGCTGAGAAGGAGTCCGGCGTTACCTTCAGGAAGCTTAGCTGAGAGTAAACCAATACCAAGATCCGTCACCGTCCTGGTATCAAAGTCGCACGGTGGCAAATCTCCCTCTGATCGATCCACAAAGACTGCGACTTCCCGTGGTGGTGACGACCTGGGGCAGACTTTGGTCTGGCTGTCTTCAGGATTCCAGGGAACCGCAATGGTTTAACCAGCAAATCTCCGAAAAATGGTGATTATGCTGGTCCCGCACAACTAGTGATGACGGGCCGTTCGATCATCACGTATCTTACTGCTTTATGTAGAAGTCGGAAATGTGATATTATTTCATTTCTACTTTCTTCGGTCTTAAGGCGTCTGGTAGAGCAAGACCCGCACTCAAATTGGAAATGAATTGTCGGCCACAGAAACACTACGACGCATTTGATGTTAGTTCTTTTATTTGATACGTTATTCCAGAGTGGTCTTTATATGTTTTTTTTTTCAAATTCTTGCAAGATTTTTACCATCCCATTGTTCAGGTGATTTTCCTCGGTGAACTTTGAACCATTAAGGTTAGCATGGCCAGGGGCCGTATTTTCTTACTGTTCTTGGGATTTCAATTCATTCTCGTTGTGTATTGCGGTATTACACACATTTGGGAATTAGTACTTTTCCGGAAAGGTCTTTCATTTCCTTTATAGATTGTCCGGACGTTTCGGCATAGCACGAAGCATGTAACACCTTTTTAGATTTCTAGCTTAGTGTCATAGGTGCTTATTTCTTTTTACGAAATAGAAAGTTAGAAGATAGAAGCATTGAGCGTTAGGAGTTGTACGGTCCTTTGGGTATGCGCCATACACTCAACTCCATTGTGACGTCCCAAAGGTGACTTAGTGCATAGCTGTCCTATAAAATCACTTATGATGGCCTACCGCTTTACCAGCTCAGTATTTCCATATTGCCAAACAAGTGTGATACTGCCATTCTGTTCTTATATTCTAACATGTATGCTTGTAGTGTTTTCGCCTGAAATTATGTGACTTGGATGTTCATCTAAACGAATTGCTGCTGTGGAAATTGGTCCAGTTTGCTCAGGCGTCCGATGCGGCGACGAGTGTTCAACAGAAAACACTGAGCATGCCACCCAATACCGAGTGAGTTGTGAAGAGGTGTTGTATGAGGTGGAAATAGTCGTGGTATCATTAACTGTATCATTAAACTCTTGCTGGGTGATCTTGTATGTTATGAGCAATTTTTACCTCTCTGCTTAAAAAATTTGAAGCAGAATTCGCCCTTTGTTAAAGTATCTTCCTCCCAACGGTCTACCTCCTCATTTTGGCTGGGAGGTGTTCCTGGGTGTCGGGCTGCGATGTACGGCGGGATGATTTTTCCACCCGGTGGGGTCTCCCAAGCTGAGAAGGAGTCATGCGTTTTCATTAGAAAACCTAACTAAGAGTAAACCAATAGCAGGACCGGCTAGAGTCCTAGTATCATACTAGTCGCATGGTGGCAAATCTTCCTCTGATCCACACAGACGGCGACTACGTTTGGTAGTGAAGACTTGCGGTAGACTTTGGCCAGGCTGACCTCAGGTTCCAGGGAAACACCAATGGCTAAACCAGCAAAACTCCGAAAAGTGGAGTATATGCTGGCGCTGCAGCAACCAGTGGGGACGGGCCGTTCACGTATCAAGTAGGTGAGGTATTTACTGCATTATGTCGTAAATACACCCAGGAACGATTCCAAAACACCTGAGGTGCTGTTATTTTAATTGATCTATGACTAGTGTTTCGATATGTTTCCATTTTTCCTTTCTATTCATGTTTAGTTTGGAGCGACCTGACCCATTTCGTACAAGGCGTTGGTACTTCGGAACTTTGGATCTTGAAATGGGCCAAATTGCGTTGAGTGGCAAGTTGACTTGACAAATATTACTTTCATGAAAATCTACAATACACCTTGGAATTAGTGTGAATACTTATAAAGTGTTATATTTTATTATTTTTTCTTTTCCAAAACTTTACGGAAATTTTAAAATCATCAGAACGTTTATTTGTTTATCTATTGTCCATTACTTTTTTTGTGGCAGAGTATTATGAGAAATACAACCACAATGTGTGCTACTTATGGCACCACTGATGCCTTCGGCTTGCTTTTCTCTCAGTCAATTTTTTAACCTAACGGTACGAACAGCCATCACCCTTCAAAGGAAGTGATCTGGGGAGCACAAATAGGCGTGGAACCCAATTAAGCTGAGACCACAGTTGAAATTACATGGTACAACTTTTTATCTACTGCCCATTTTTCTACGGCAGTGTATTATATGAAATATAACCACAGTGATGCTGAGATAGTTGCAAAACTTGGACGCTCGGCCAGATCGAACTGGCTGAGAGGAAAGCAATGGCGTTAGTGGTACTGTGCGCAACACGTGAGCCCTCGGAAAAGGTCACGAGGACGTATTTTTTCTGCAAGTAAATGTTTGTAAATTTGAACAATTTTTTATGTTTCAGTGGTGACGGTATCAAAATCGACTCTTCCACCGAAGTGCCGTCAGCTAAAGCAGCAATTCAACGTGAAGTTGATATCTTTTGAAAAAGCTGCCGTTTATTTACCGCCGTTCCGACAATTTCACTATTTCGAAACAAGTTCATTCTTGTTGGAGAGCTTGAGGAAGTTCTATCTTGGTGAGTTGTACGAGATGAGGTTCTTTTTACTAACTTGAGACGAGACCATTCGGACGTGATGTTTTAGTCAGTGTTAACCTTTTATTTGCTGCGTACTAAAATTTTTCACGACAGGGTGTTATGTGAAATACAACCATAATCATGGTGAAATATTTGTATGAACGGTAATAGCGTGTTTGATCACCACCGAAAACACCTGGGGTCTGAAGTTTTGCGAGTATCTCAGCATAATAATGGCTGTTTTAACCAGTTTTTATTTCTTTCGAATATGCACTATTTCGACTTTACAGCAGATTAGATCTGAGTGACGTTTAATTGAATATTAGCGTTTACACAACTGCACCTATTTTTGCTTGACTTCCATAATGTAGGATGCAAAACTTCATGTCTCTACGAACTTAGTTGTCTGCTTCAGTTTCGGCAATATTTCGATAACCACAAGATTTTACAAATTGAGAACTCCACGGGATTATAGAGGGAATTTGGCTGTATTAGTTTGGTTTTTATATATATTGCTACTTGCTATATGTCACAATGGTCTGTGATATGTTCTGTGCCCCAAATACACCCCGAACACAAAATAAAAGTAACCCTGACTGAAGTTATACCGGCCACTCTATCCCCTACCAAATACCTCCAATAGAGATCGCGTCGTTGCGTAATAGCTAAGCAATCATACGACGCAGTAAGTTCCCAATTTACTTGAAAGGTTGTGAACAATTGTTTTTAACTTGCTATGTTTAAGTCTTATTTCTTAATTCATCGTCATTCGTAAAATCTCTGTAAGGTCGGTTACTGCAGATGAGAAGCGACAGTCAGTATGTAGAGGATGTCTATTCGCGCGATCTTTAGAAGATTACATGGAGCCGAATTAATATTGTTTATGAGAACTGCTTTTGATAAGCTTAAAGGAGGACTTTAACACTACATTCGGTCTTCAGTGGATAACTTTTCGAGCAGTTCACATTCTTCAGAGACGTGAGGATGCCGTGTTGCTATATAGCTTTATTCGATGATTAATTTTGCAATATTAACGAAAAACAAAGCACAAATAGTTCAGAAAACAAACGAAAAAAATCAGTGAACCAAAGACCGTGAGAAAAGTAACCTGATAGAGGTTAATGCAGACCACTCCTTGAGATACTGAGATCTTTTTTGTGGGAGTTAGGGTTATAGTTGGTATTATACTACCATTCTTGTTTCACTTTCATGTTAAAAGTTTTTCTTTTAGCTGAGCTTCAAAAACAAACGTTGAATATCGTTGTTACTTTGGACGCGTTTGGCAATCCACAAGGGCTGGTCACAGATCTTAAAGATTCTTTCCAGGTATTATCCAAATTTGAATATTTTTCTAGAAGTATGTTTTTCATCAGCGTTTAGTTGTGCGGTGTTCTTCGCAGGAAACAGTATATGTACTGTTAACTTGTTATTTTGAAATGGATCGTTTCGTTTTCACTGCTGAACTTTTTTTTAGGGGTTATTCATCGAAGGCGATCTTCAACGATTTGTCGCTGGTCTCGGATACGGCGTTTCCAACAGTATTTCAAAAGTGAGTACGTAGAAATGCTCTAAGTCAGCAAATTCTACGATTCTATTTCATCTACGTGAGTATCTTCCAGTTAGCCTCATCTGCAGCCTCTGGTGTTGGAGCGTTGACGTTTGATCAAGAGCATGAAGCGAAACGCCGACATAACATTATTCGTTCGCACAGGTACGTAGTAGAAACCGTCTCCGGTTCGCAACCACCGAATACAGTTTGCTCTGAAAGTTCGCTTACTTGCTTTTATATACTCGTTCTTTGCTTGTGTGATGTTAACGTACTTAAACAGAATAATAAGTCAGTAAGGAAAAACTTTGATTAGGGATTTTGAAGCCTGTTAGTTATAGCTCCCAGGATCGACTTTCTGTTAACCTTGGCATTGGATTATGAATTCTTCGTTTTCTTTCTTAGCAATCTCGAGGTTGTTATACAGCATACATTTACTTCCATACAATAACACATATACAACACAACCGTTGCTGACGTTTCGGCAGAATCGCCTTCCAGAAAGATGAGAATCTAAATGGCAGTCACATCGTCAACACCTCGAAAAAACCCACTGTTTTTACGTGCCTTCCACTGAGAAAGAGCCGCTGATCAGAGTCGCATATGGTTGACGACTCTATGTTAGTTATATCTGGCGAATTATAATATTTTATGTCCTACATTAGGTTGTGAGGAAATTAATGTTCGATTTGTAGTTTCACTTTTTTTTCGTGTACGTTTTGACAATAGCTTTTTTTCGACTGCTGTGCTATTCTATATTATTGTGAAACTTATTTTACACACTTTCTCTGCCTTTAATCTAGTCATGATATAATATTGATTATGATGTTATTCGTTTTTGACATATTCTAAAAGTTAGAAGTTGAAACAACGATTTCGACAAATCTGCTTCCACGAATTCAAACTCGGATGTACGCAGTGTCAAAACACTATTGAGGTATGGAGCCAAGGAAGTGTTAACGAACGCATAGCGCAAGGTTGGTTTTGAGAATTTCCTTGTGGTAGTTCGACATCGAAGATGAAGAACGTTGCAGGCAAACTTCTGCTATTGACAACAATGTGCTAAAGGTTTTGTTGGAAGTATATACACTTACAACACCTCGATATCTTGCAAGAGAACTATATATCATCATTTCAATTGTTTCGGATTGTCAAAGGAAAATTGGAAGGTTGAATAAGCTCGACAAATGGATGCAACACGAATTGAATGACAACGAAAGAAATCTTCGTTTCGAGGTGACTTCCGTATATCTGCACCACCAGAACGACCTGTTTTTCGACATGTTGTGACGCATGGTGAAGTGCAACGAGAAGTAAATCCTCTACGATAGCCGGCAAAAATCGGCTTAGTGGTTGAACTTCGATGAAGCTCCGCACCGCATCCTAAGGCCGAAATTGTACCGAAAAAGGTTATGCTGACCGTTTTATAGTTTGCTACTGGTTTAATCTATAGCACCTTGTTGAATGCGGATGAAACAATTGCGGCGAAGTACGCTTAGCAAGTCGGCGAAATGAACCACGAATTCCAATGGCTACTGCAGCAGACGCTGTAATAATTGAACGAGCTTCCGTATGAAGCTGTCTTATTGTCTCATCCACCGTATTCGCCTTCAAGTATCTCGATGATCTCCTGTGCGAGAAGCACTTTAGAAGCCAAGTTGAGGCCGAAACTGCGTTCAACGGTCTGACTGCCTCCAGAAACCCAGAATTTTGTGCCACTTTTACACATGGGATTGTTTCTTGTTGGCAAACAACAGAAATATATAGTATTTAATACATAGTCTATAATATTAATAGGTAATATTTCCAATGGATTTTATTCCGATTAATGAAGTTCTTTCGGAGCTGAGAAATGCCACTTTGAAAATACAGATTGAAATCGAACATTAAGTTCCGGAGAATTTGGTAGTTCAACGGTTACCTTTTCTCCGGTCATAATCTCATACACTATGTTTGTACTATATTTTGCTACCCTTTTATAATATTGGATACGTATAACCACGATGGTGCTCAGATCTTCAATGCCGATGTGGGCTTCCCAGATCAATCCCGTTAACGGTTGATCGCTGATAGCTTTGATCAATAGAAAACTAGCTGAGAGACAGGCGAAATGAAGGACTCGCGTGGTGTAGTGGTGAACGCGTTAGCCCTGAAAAGGTAATAGTGCGTTCGTTCTCTACCTTAGTCACCTGCGGTCCGGAGTTTTGCACATATCTCAGCATCATTGTGGTTGTATTTGCGTTATGCTCTGCCGTGAAAATTCATAATGGGCAGCAAATAAAAAGTTAGCATTGGGTACTTATACTTCTTAGTCTTTACTACAATCTGTCAACATCCTTAACGTTAATGTTTCATTCTTAGCACTACAGCGACACCTCTTTCACACCTCTACTCCGGAGTTAAGGGACTGGGCGTAGGTGTCCTGGGAGGAATTACTGCTATCATTACAAACACAATTACGGAGAGCCGCAAGAGTGGCATCATGACGGTAGGAAGCTATGGCGTTCTTGATATGTTGTTTTGTAGTATCCATGACAAAGTTCTATGAAAATTGAGATTGTCAGTCTATCTAACATATCAAAGTACAGTAATACATCCTGTCATTGTGATTCCTTATTATCATATTCTGTTAAAATATAGCGCTGTTTGAAAATTTCTGCTGTTTTGTGCTTTTCTATCTTTCCTATTAGGTGTTACAGTTACAAAGTGCTGAGTATTGTTAAGTCATATCGCATAATGAATTAGCAAACATAGCTTAGCTGAAACCGCGAAAAGTGAGCTAAATATTGACAACAATTTGAGCAAAGTCCTATCTTTTTTACCGACCTTTACAATTAGGGTCTTAATAACAAATTCTCAATGTTTTAAGGGCGCCCTTCGTGGTATTACCACTGGTGCTGTGGATACGGTAACGAAGCCAGTACAAGGATTGTTCGATTTGGTTGAAGGAACAGCGTCAGCAATGAAAGAACTCGCAGGCCCAGCGACGGGTAGCGGACGAAGACTCGCAGCGAGCGCGTAAGTAGTTTGCTTATCAGTCACTTTTCCTTTTCACTTGTTGCCTTTTAGTTGTTGTCGGATTTAATTTCTTAGCAATGAATTAGTAACTCCCAAGTCCGACTTTCTATTAACCTCGGCATTGATTGAATATATCTTTCTACTTCTGTTCAGCAAACACGAGGTGCTATTTTATTTCTTTATTTACGCACAAGCTGACGTTTCGGCGGATTTCGCCTTGCTCAGAGCCTGGGAGGGTCAACTTGACAGCAATCCATTCGGCCAAACACCTCCATAACCAAACAGAGAAAACGCTAAACCAAGATTTCAATCACATTTAGCATAGCTCTGCACACTCACCGCTTTCTATGAGTCTTCCACTAAGTATGTCGCGTGAAGACCGACCGCACCAAATTCACATGGAAGCGTAATGTGCTCCTCCCATCAGAATAAGAGGTTTATATACTGTCCAATATCGCGCGTGATAACGAGGCATTCCTCCCTGCGGTTCATTTTCGGATTCTTGGAATTAATCCGGAATGCCTCTAGAGTTTTGCGCGCTTGTGTTCTCGATTCTTGCGCGAGGATCGTAACCCTTACTTCAAAATCTTCTCCGTTATGTTTCTGCGTGCTATGCGTACCTAGTGGAGTACTTGGTTTACGTTTCCCGACTAGGTGTTCTTTTATACGTACGCAGAGTGGTCTACACGTTTCGCCAACGTATTCGTCCCCGCACGCTTTACAAGAGATCAGATAGACTGTACCCGAACNTAATAGACTTAAAAGATATCTTTCTACTTCTGTTCAGCAAACACGAGGTGCTATTTTATTTCTTTACTTACGCACAAGCTGACGTTTCGGCGGATTTCGCCTTCCTCAGAGCCTGGAAAGGTCAAGTTGACTGCAATCCACTCGGCCAAACACCTCTATAACCAAACAGAGAAAACGCTAAACCAAGATTTCAATCACATTTAGCATAGCTCTGCACACTCACCGCTTTCTATGAGTCTTCCACTAAGTATGTCGCGTGAAGACCGACCGCACCAAATTCACATGGAAGCGTAATGTGCTCCTCCCATCAGAATAAGAGGTTTATATACTGTCCAATATCGCGCGTGATAACGAGGCATTCCTCCCTGCGGTTCATTTTCGGATTCTTGGAATTAATCCGGAATGCCTCTAGAGTTTTGCGCGCTTGTGTTCTCGATTCTTGCGCGAGGATCGTAACCCTTACTTCAAAATCTTCTCCGTTATGTTTCTGCGTGCTATACGTACATAGTGAAGTACTTAGCTCACGTTTGCCGACTAGGTGTTCTTTTATACGTACGCAGAGTGGTCTACACGTTTCGCCAACGTATTCGTCCCCGCACGCTTTACAAGAGATCAGATAGACTGTACCCGAACTCATGCAGTCATCGTCTCTACCATTGGGACAAATTATGCAATTTTGCGTTGCACGTAGACGGTCGTATAGGCGGTTATGAACTAGCTGGCGCTTAGATTACTCGGTGGTATTTCGATTATCGTTACCGAATTCTCTAGACTGGCCCTTCTTAAACAGCGTTTTATAGCTGCACTTACTTCATTTGAAATGAAGGGTAGTATAAACGGGACCTTGTTGTCGCTAGAGTTGTCGTTGGGGTACCTGTGGTTTCCTCTACACCTATCTGGAGCTACGGTTTCGTAGCCATTAAAAATGGCTATTTGCCGCGCCAAGTTCCGGGACTCCTCTCTCTGTTGTCTCCCTGTGCACACGCTGGTAGCTGTTCGATACATGTTTCTCACAAGCGCCCTTTTCGTGTGAGAGGGATGAGAGGAGAGGTAATGAACTAGGATGTTTTTACTACTTGGCTTTCGATACTACTTCGTAATGTAGCCGTTTTCTGATAGGCTAATTAGCACGTTCAGAAATGGAAGCCAGTCTTCTTTTGGTTTCTCTCGGGTGAATTTCATATACTCTGTGTGTTCAACAAGAAACATCTGTCGATTTCTTCTTGCGTTGAACAAATAACCAAGCAGTCATCTATATATCTACAGTAGAGGAACGGACCGAGGTCGATTACTGGCGCTTCCGCCTTAGACATGAATACATGTGTTATACCGCCCACTCCGCAAAGCCATTGTGACACCCTTGGATCTCACTCGACTCGTCATGGGGGTGTTAATTGCAGTGGAATATGCAGAACATATATACTATACGACAACTAATGAAACTATGTGGAAAAGTCCGCCGTGATGCTTCGCAGCATTTCATAGAGCCAAATCTAGTTCATAACAGGGAGAGCCGTCAGAAATTTGACAAAACACATCAAGATGTGCAGTGGTTGCGAACGGATTGAATAGAGTGCAAATATAGTATTGCATATTTTCCTCTAAATGATGCTTCAGAAGCAGGAGGGATCTGTACTTTTTTAAATTTCTAAATTATCTCGAGGAAACAAGAGTTATTCAGTGGGAAAACTGTCAAAATCGTTTTGAAACTCCGCTAGATTCAGTGATCCTAATTATTGTATATATGGAATGAATAAATTTTGACGCGTTGGCAAAGAATATGCTGGATGTGTTCATTCCTAAATTAGTTTGGTTAGATAAAAAAAAGTCGTAGCGTTTGAAGTGCTGTTGAAAACCGGCCGTTTCATTATTGAATTGTCATAAAATATGCCCAAAAAATGTAACTCTTTGGATAAGTTGCCAAGGTCGACTTTCTGTTAACCTCGGAATTGGATTGTGAATGCGTCGTTTTCTTTCTCAGTAATCGCGAGGTTATATGCTTAGGCTTAGGTTGTCGAGCAACCTCACCGTTGCTGAGAAAGAAAACTGCGCATCTTTGGGTAACTGCCCTGGTTATTGTGAACATGGAGAAGGTACTTAATGTGAACAAGTGTTTTCACCAATTGCATAATAAGTAGATATAGTTCCACGTGGTCTCTGTTTGTTTTTTTTATTTCCTGTTTAAAAGTGTTGGTTTTCTATTTGCTTCACAAACTTACTGCTGCCAGAAGTCGGTGTCCTGCATTTGATTGTTAAAAGTTGTTTGTGATTTTATTTGTGAATTACGACTGCAGATTATTAAATATTTTCTGTTATTGTTATTATAGTTTTTGTTCGTTTTAGAAGAATACGGCCACCTCGACTTTGCCGAAATCTCTACCATCTCTTACCGCCATACAGTCATCAGCTTGCAAACGCACAGATGGAAATGATGCGCATCAATGGTCATTCAACGAAAGAAAGGTAACTTTTTATTCTTTATAAATCTGATCTGAAAGCACAAAATAATGGTTGGTCGCGCGATGTTCTGGTTTTTTTTACACCTACTAAGATTTTGGGCTGCCATATCCGTTTAAGTCTGAATTGTACTTCTTTTTCTATTTTTATTTTCTGTTAAATTTACTGCTTTCCGTTATTCCACTTTTTTTGCGAAGCGCAGTTCCATAGATTGAACGCACTGAAATGTTCCTTCGTTATCCTTTTTGGAACACCGGCGTTGTTCTTGTTAATTTGAAAGCGTTGAGCATTTCCGTTTTGTTAGGTTGCTCGACGTCGAAGTTTGTTTGGAACAAATAAATGGTAACAACGTCATACGACAGTATGTCTTAATCTCGACGAAGCAGTGTTATGTATGCCGTCAAGTGGGTTTTTCGCAGTATTAGCTACTTTGCAAGGTTAATTATTGTGTATTTAACCATATTTTCTGCATCGTAGTCAATTTATGCAACAGTTTCCCTCCTTAGGTTAACTCCGAGCCATCTAATGTGATCTTCCGCATTCCCTACAAATACCTAAAGACGGTTAAGCCACGTCCTGAATTAGAGAATTCATTGGCCAGCTTGGGTAAGCATTTACTCATTTGTTTATAATCTGTTATAATCCTCCAGTACTGTATCAGGTTACGAAATGTATTTCATGTATTTTTTATGGGTATTTGACTACATATCTATTTATTTCTAATTTCCTAATTAACATTTCAACTTTATATATTTAAAGTCGCTTACTTCAACTCAGAGTGAACATTAACGGAAATAGAAACAATTAAAATTTTCAGATTACTGCGAACTGGAGTGAGTTTATTTATTTTGCTTATTTAGAACTTTTGAGGCTACAAAGTTTTTGAAGCCAGTTTCGGCTTCGGCTTGATTTTAGCACTTCTGTCATAGAAAATTACCGAGGTGGTTGATGAGGTGGTATTCGTTGAGTGAGAGGTCTGGCTGGCTAGTATGGTAGATGAAACCGCGGTCTATTGTAGAAAAGGACTGATGCTTTTCGGTTGACCAGCACATGGCTCCACCTTTGAACTTTCTAGTGCATTTCGTGGATTTGTTGAGCGTACTTCTCCACCGTAATGGTTTCACTTGGATCCAGGAAACTGTGATTTAACGAATCAGTAGCAAACCACTAAACGATAAGCATGATTCCGGTGCAGTTTTGTTTTGTGGGCGCTGTCGAGCTTCATCGCGGTCAAACACTGAATCGTCGCCTGTTGTCACGGGAAATCTGTTTCTTGCAGCACATCGCAATACGGCAGGAAACCGAGTTGTTTTCGTTATGAAGAAGAAACACTGATACTTCAAGACGGCGAATTCTCTGATAGTCGTTGTCAAGCTTTTTCGATTCCCCAACATTTTTAGATGCCCTGAATTGTTCAGACGCTTACAACGAGTTCATCTACTTGTTTCATTTCTTCAGTACAATTTCGTCAATGGTAGAACGACCTCCGCGATCTTCATACACTTCAAAGTCGAATTTGCCACGATGAAATTTTCGAAAGTAACAGTCAATAGGGAGCATGGAATCGAAGCGCCCATGGCCCACCAAGCCTTCCATCCCTCCGGGGTCGGTAAATTGGTACCGGACTTATCTGGCAGGATAGCAGCACTAGCTCGATACATCGGCAGGCCGCCGCGACTCATTGTAAAGGCCAGATATGCATTCAATCACCTCCAACGATACTTAGTGAAGTCGAATGCATGGCGTATTCTTCAGGGATTTATCAACGCCGAGTGCTTTATCCTTTGTTTTTTTTTATTTTAACGGCCAAAACTCATCAGGCATACGCCTCATTTACCAGTGTTTCGAGCCCTCTGTGTTACGTACGTTGCATATCGAATGCATAGTAGTAGGTTTATTGAAATAGCTGTTTTGAACCCGAAATTCGAATGTCCGAAATCTGCCAAGAACGCAATTTACGTTAAACATTAATTCTACGGAGCAAACGTGCATAAAATAAACTTTACGTAGATATGTAGTGGTGTAGTATTCGAAAAAAATCTTGCTGAATTGTACACAATAAGAATAATATTGTAAAATCCTGTTTCAATTACCTTAAAACCAAGTAGTTAATGTAAAGCGTATTTTAAAACACCAGTACTCATTTGCCTCTCGATCGACGGTTAACAGCCTCATCGTGGTTGGAAGGTGCTCCTGGCTGTCGGGATGCGATGTACAGCTGGGAGATTCATCCACTAGACAGGGTCTCCCAAGCTGAAAAGGAGTCCGGCGTTTCCATCAGGGAAGATAAGCTAAGAGTAAACGAATACTAGGTTCCACCACGGTCCTGGTATCAAAGTCGCATAGTGGCAAATCTCCCTCTTATTCCACAGGGGCTGCGACTGCCTGTAGTGGTGAAGACCCGAGGAAGACTTTGGCCAGGCTGACCTCGGGATTCCAGAGAACCGCAGTGGATTAACCAGCAAATCTCCGAAAAATGGAGATTATGCTGGGGCCGGCACAACCAGTGAGGACGGGCCATTCAATACCAATTATTAAGTAAGTACTTATTCCAATGGGGCGGATAACACAGTGGTAGTGATGCCCATCATCACGAGCATGGTTATAGTTCGATTCCGCTCCGAGCCAACCGAGCCTCTCATCTCTCCGGGGTCGGGAAATCGCTACCGCTCTTGTTTGGGAAAACATCACTTTCTGCAATCCAGTTGGGGACGCTCCAACCCGGCTATCTCAGGACTTCAGGGAGAATTGCTCGAACAAGATTCTGCGAAAAATGGAATGAAAATTACCAAGCAGCAACCGAAGTCACACGTAAAGTTGGAAGATCTTCGTGGACAATGGATGCGAATGAACGAACTGAATATGGGAAGTGCTGGAATCCGTGTAGACGTGAAGACGGGTCAAATAAAATGATATAAAATAAAATAGTACTCATTCAGGTCGTATATCAATAAAGGATTTCTTATGGAGGTTTGTTTTGCACATAAAAAGTTAGCGATTGATAAAGTTATTCATTTTTTAGCATAGACGTGTTGATAAAAGTAGGGTCCATACAATTTGTGTTAAAACGCATTTCTTGTTGAAAAAGTGCTTACCATTAGTACAAAAGCCGTTTTAGGAATAGAGGATTATGAAATACGAGCTGTGGTAGTGTGTTTTGCCACAGGCGATGAATATTTCTGTTATTTTCTTTTCTTTTAATTCAGAAGTCATTATCGATACGGATGATCGACGAACTCTTCCTTCACATATCTGGTGTGGACGGTACGAAGTTGCAAGACGTTTGGGCGAGAAAATGATGCAAGCAAAGCGTGAATATGATCATAGCAAACGGACGCTTAGCGATCAAGAATGTTCGGACGGCTGAGTTTTTGAGTGAGAGGTCGGTGGTGAGTATGATTTGGAACCGACCAAAGCGTTGGTGCAGGGCGACTTGAAGAAATTTTTCGAGAAGATTGATTTGTATTGGAGATTGATTGATATCCAACTACGACAAGAACCTTCTGGTTCACCAATGTATTCTTAAGGTAGCTGCATATATGCAATGTTTCCGTCAGACCAACTTCGTTCGCTTAATGTCTGACTGTGAAAGGCTGTTTCATTGTGCGTTAAAAAGTGCTTTAATAGTTGTCTTCTCATGTGCAAAGCTCCAATTGTAATTGCTTTAAGGTTGTTAAGGTTCTAGGTTCTAACATTTGCGTAGCATTATATTTAGCGAAAATCTGTACACTTCCGAATATCTGGAGAATTTCTATCATTCTTGCAGTTTTGTCATGGGAACAAGAAAATTTCGGAAGCGTTCTGTCGGATCAAAACGAGTTTCAGTTTTATAAATCACTGTAACTTTGTTAAAGCAATCACTCTAATCAGTTGGTGAACACTTTCTCTTACCACTTATTACCTGAGCTTTTTCTTCTTTTTGAATGGAATGTAGGATAACAGGCCTTGTAGGATACCAGTGCTAAAAATTCTAGTCCTGTTGACCAATTTTAGGTTTATGATAGGAATCTAGAGTAACAGGATGCTACTTTCCGTGTTTGGTGAGTAATTTTCGGGTCCCTGAGCGGACATTTGAGATTCGTTTTGGAGTTGAGATGAGTTCAAGTCAAGGTCATCTTTGTTGTGTTGCTTTATTTCCTCTCTATGCTGAATATTATAATAACTATTATCGATTATATCAGTGATTTTTTATTCTGTGAATGTCCCTACGGAGTTTTTATATTCGGCCCTCTTTTTCACTGTGATATGTAGTTTTCGTTATTAAATTATTGGTACTATTTGCTGTGGTTCTTAAAGAGATGTGAGATCCCTCGATATTTCATCGCTCGATATCGGATTTGGTTTGAAACTGCAATATTATACAGATAGATTTTCGTAGATTGTAGATTGTGGAGAATTTTGTAATACATCATTTAGGTGGATTTGTTGAGAAACGTCTATTAGGTCTAAGTTTACATCCGTTTTAAAAATTGCACTACCTTATTCTACTTAAACTACCAGATATGACCGTTTTCTGCTGAACTGTCCTCAGAGTGCACTTACCGTTTCCGTTATATTCATCGACTTCAATGCATACTAGACCGGAAATATGGCATTATATCTGGTACATTCGGGATAGAGATCATTTAGATGGTTTTTCGATCAGAGCAGTTGTTAGTGATGCAGTCTGTAAGCAAGCAAAGTGCTGGTTGCATTCGTTTCCAGCACTTTTCTCCAATCGAACTGAGAACTGCTCAGTTCGACTACCTCAGACATCGCAGGAAGAACCAACTCGACCGTCATTCTGCGACATTCATAAAGAGTACGAAATCCTGAAGCAGTTGCCCAAAGAACATGCGAAAAGTTAGAAGACTTTTGTGGACAATGAATGCAGAGAGAACGAATCGAATGCAAGTACTGAAATGCGCACAATTGACGTGTTGACGGGTATTGTAAAGTAAAACTTAATAGAAGAGACTTTGCTCAGTCGTTTTAAGGGTGTGTACAGTGTTTACAAAACGTTCCTTCAGTTTCTGTTGTTTTTAGTACTTAATTCTCCGGAATTGAAAACGAAGATAGGTATGGAAATGTTCGAAATATGAGCCTTCAAGCGAAGGAACGGAAAATTTGCGTTTCATGGTATCCAGAAAGAGGGAATTTGGGGTTTGTCTGTTAAGAGGAGGTTATCTTGTTGGTTTTCCTAACGTTTTACTGCCTCATCCTGGTTGGGAGGTGTTCCTGGGTATTGGACTGCGATGTACAGCGGGTGATTCATCCCTCTAGCAAAGTTTCGCAAGCTGTGAAGTCTGGTGTTTCCATCAGGAAGGCTAACTAAGAGTAAACCAATACCAAAATACACTACCGTCCTAGTATTAAAGTCGCATGGTGGAAAATCTCTCTCTGGTCCACAAGGACGGCGATAACTTGTGTTGGTGACGATCTGAAGCAGACTTTGACCAGGCTTATATCGGGATTCCAAGGAACCACAATGGCTTAACCAGCAAATCTCCGGAAAATGGAAATTGTGCTGGCGCCCACACAACTAGTGAGGATGGGCCACTGAAGTATCAAGGATCGAGTAAGTACCTTGTTGGCAGTGATCTATTGATTTATCTGAACTACTAGGGTTCAATATGAGCTGGGAGAGATGAGCATCTGAAGGTGATTATTTACTCACTGTACGTATGGAAATTAATGCACGTCGATGAGAATGTGCTAATTAAACGTGTATTATCTCCCATGGAAGTTCATTAGTTGAAATAAAAAGCACTGCAATCTATAGATCGTTGCCGTTGATGCCGATCGATCGTTGAAAGTCAGGTTTCCAACTTTGTCGTGATGAAGGTTTCTCCTTCTTTTTTTGAAGCCACTGAATAGTTTTGTTTTTCTTCCGTCAATTCCTACGTTTCTAGCGGAGGTGCCTATCTATCGGTTTTAGTTTTAGAAAAGTTGTTTAAAGAAAGCTCGAAAAAGGTTTGAAAGAGCATCCATATCATTATTATGATAGGGTAAAGTCTCTTCGATAAAAATGTAGTATCACCAGGTCCTCAAACACTTTGGCTAGTGTGGATTACTGGTAGTTACTGAAAGCGTATAGAGGTGCGTGAAGCGGAATGGTCGGAGGCGCCCTGCAATACACATGGGGTCGATGGGTCGATCTCGCGCCTTAGGTCCGCTAAAACCACAAATTTGTAGCAGACTTGTCTCGAAGGAGAGTAGGGCTTGCCACATCGATAGGCCACTGCGAGTTATTGTAAAGGTCATATGTTCACGCAATCACCTCTAAAATGCATCCTTGAGGGATTGATCAGCGCAGAGAGCTTATATCCGTTTATTGGAATGCAAGATTTTTGCGGGTATTAATATCGTTTGTCTTATTCGTAAGTATTTAGCAGGTGATGTGTTCAAAATTGATCAAATACACGGTCAAGTGTATTGATCATCAGGGTTCAAATTCCGACGGCAAATTCTTTTTAGTGAACCGTTATAGTTGCCACGGTTAAAGCAAGGCTTGGACTATATACTAGTGTCTAGAAATGATCTCTCATCAGCACTTCTTAGTTTTTGTTTAGGTAATCTGGATCTGCTGTCTTTTTATGAGCTTAAAGCCAAAGAAGCAACGTGGCTTTCGAGTATTCGTGGGTTCCTGTATCTTCACAACGATCACTATAGGTACCGTAACTTGAGACTTATGGAATGACTGTTCACTATCATAAGTAAATCTGCCTTCATAACTCATAATTCTTAAGTGTTTTCCGAAAACTTAACTCTGAATAGTTCATGAAAAAAAGAATCTTTTAAATTGAGGACAAGATTCATTGGGCTTTTTGATCAATAGAAGAGGACGCGTGTAACGCAGAGGTCAGAGGCGCCCTGTAATACACACGGGATCGATCCCCGCCCCACTGGCTCACCAAGCCTGCCATCCTTCGGAGGTTGGCATATTATCCTTACCTTATCTTAGAGGATAGCAGTACTGGCTCGATACATCGGTAGGCCACCGCGAGTCATTGTAAAGGCCAGATATGCATTCAATCACCTCCAAGCGATGCTTAATGAAGTCGAATTCATGGCGCATCCCTCAGAGATTGGTCAACGCCGGGAGCTTGATCGTTTATCCTTGATTAGCTTTATAGAAACTCCTGTAATGATGGTTTGTGAAATTTGAATTATTTACTGAGAAATAGCATTTGATCATTGTCAGAAGGATTTCTTCATCATTAGGTCGTTGTGAGCTGAAGGTACACACCGTATTTTAGTTTTTTGAGAAATCAATGACGATAGATATTTTCGTAGTCCGATGACTTGACTGAAGTCGTGTGATGAAATCAACCAGATACTAACGGCTGAACTATTTCTTTCAAGCTCTCGTTCTGTGGGATGAACGTCAGCAGCGGGAGCGACGTCAGGAAGGAGTCAAATATCGACTGAAATCGATTCAACAGAAACAGAATATGCAAGAATATGAAGAGCAACGACAGAAATACGAGGAGTATAAGAAGGCACAGTCTGGCTAACTTGCTGTTCCATAGGTTTTCATTGTTTGACGTTTTACGTAGTTGTTTTCCCTCCATTTTAACTTGTTACAGACTGAGGTGTGAACTGTTCTTTAATGTTATATAGGTTTTATTTTCTTTCAGTATTTCTACTTTGTAATCCTGTTAATAGGATTTTTTGAAAGATTTCTCCCTTCCCCACTGTTATCAAGGTGTTTGCCTAGCCGTGATCTTACGGCTGTAAAGTGTATTATTTCCTTAACAAGAACTTCTGAAAGGTCTCCTTTCTACTATTAAGGTATTTCCAAATTATTTATTAGATTAACACTGAGCAGTTTTTGCGTCCGCGACTTCACTGTGATAAATTGCTTCCGGTGGACGATGGAACAGCAGAAGGACTTGCTGATGAGGAGAGCTTGTATAATTAATATGTGGGGCAGATTGACTGGTAGCACTTGATTTCGGTTCATGGTTCCTGCAGTGAGAAATCAAACGTAGGTTGAGTAGTAGTTACGCCAGTCACGGCATCGAAGAAAAAGTGTTACATATGTTACGTTCTCTTTTGTCTGGGCTGGTAAGAGGTAAAAGTAGTTGTGGGATGATGTGTATGAGGAGTAGAGAAAGCTGTGATAAAAGCAATAATTCTAGAAGGAGACAACTGAAGAGAAATAGGATAGGGAACGAAACACAGTAGCATAGGTATAATTACGTTGTTGTGAGAGGAAGCGAGCCAAATGGGAAATGAAGATAAGAGAAGTTAATGAAGTGAACGAGGAGAACGGTTGAAAGGAAGAAGACAGCGGTCTTAAGGTGGATGTGATCGGTTTTCCAGAATGGTTTCATAATGGCTTGTAGGAACACTTCTCTCAATGTGCTGCTTTGTGGTCTTGATGTTAATGCTTTAAGTGCAAGATTAATGTTCAGGGTTTGAGTTCTGGGAAAAAACTTGAGGTTGCCTCTTCTAGCAAGTGGTGATGCGGGCGTTTTGGTCAACCAGTTACCAAGTGATGAAACCATTAGCTGCTTCGAAGAAGATACTGGATACCTTGAGGTGCGTCTATCTATGAATTTTATCAAAAGTGCATAGTAAAATATCTGACATTTCAGTTTAGATTTGTTTCTAAGGACTCATTCACAATCATTATTCGTGAATTTGGTTCGGCTTTGAATGTTAGAACATGTTTCTTCCGCTTAGTGACTAGTTTAAGTCGTCATGTATAGTCTTCGGTTCCGTGAGGAAAAAAAATTTTTGGCCAGGATTGCTTTTGGTTCATACTTGGTTAGGTTACGAGTACTTGCAAAAAAAAAGATTTTAAGAACAATGAGAAGAAGTAGAAAAGTAAATTCATCAAAATAGTAAGTAACACAATTCCCAGGTCGTACTCTGGTGCTGCTTTGATGAAAAACAATTGGAAACCGGATACAGTTTATCTCTACCAATTTCCTCGTTCGCCGGTGATGCCAAATGTGTCACCATTTTGCCTAAAAGTTGAGACATTCCTTCGTGTGAAGGACATAAAATATGAGGTTAGTTAAAATGAAATGAATTTGATGAATGTTTTGTAAGCCAGCTTTCATTTAACCTCGGTATGAATGTTCAATGTGATATTGTCATTAATGAGCTAATACGAAGTTTTTTTTTTCAAAACGGCTAATGTTTTGGTGCCTTCGTCTTTATCAGAGTAATAATGAATTGAGTCTATTGTCCACATCCATTTATTGTTGCGATGTGGGTCTTCATTGTCTCATTGAGCTGAATTAAGTGAAGCGAGGAAATAAAGGAAATAACACCTAACTCGACAAGTAACGTTTCGACCATGGCGATCCAAATTGAAAAAAAGAATAGCTGTAGACAATCGAATTGTATCACGAGGGTTTGATGGAGGCGCTGTGAACATTCGAATTGTATCATTGGGTCTCTGGTCAAGGCAAAACCACGGAGGTGTTAACGGAATAAATTTTAATAACAACTTCATGTTCATTCGTCTGTAAAAATGAGGCTTAGTGAATGTCGTCACAGACCAGTCAAGGTTTCTATGAAATAAGATTGGTACCCGTAATTCTCGTAGTACACCTTAATTCGATTGATACTGTGGTGTCAGGTGTGCGTGATTTGGACTAAGTTATTAAGTTATTTCTACTAACTTCTACTACTAAGTTATTTCAGCGTGTTTTTTTTTCACCAGATGGCCTGTCTCTTCCCATCGTGTACTTGTCTATCGAACTTACGTACCTTGAGTTGATGTTTAGAACGGGAAATAATTAAGGTTTTTGACAATTGTGCCAGTTTTCGTCTAGGTTCTTGGTGGGTTTCGACAACGATCTTCACGTGGATTGCTTCCATTCATTGAATTGAATGGGAATCAAATAGCTGATTCGCAAGTCATTATTTGGGAATTGCAAAGGCACTTCAAAGTTAAGGTATGTTTCATCATTGCGGGTGCACTTATTCTTCCATTAGTTTTTGAGTTGTTTAAATTTTTTATGGAGACCTCTTCTATAGCATGAGTGGGATTTCCTCTTAGTTATTTTGAAGATTACATCCAAATTTTTACATATATTGGTAGAAACTCGATGTGACGAGTGTTATAGTACCTAGTACTCACATGTACTTCTAAAAGTATGTGAGTGGTTTAGCATTTTCTTTTATTTCAGGATGATCTTACTGGTGTAGAGAGAGGTACCGCACGTGCACTAGAACGTATGGTCGATATGAGCACTTTTTAGTAAGTGCTTTCAAACTGCGCGTTCAATATACTACATAGTAACTGTATACGCAAGTGCATCTACCGACTAAATCGCAGTAGGGATTTTCGTGTTTGAGGCTGCGTCGTACCACAAAGAATTTATCAGGGTAATCATCTATACTACGAAAAATCGACGTTTCCGTTTGAAAATATTGTGACAATAAACCTATATCACACCGGAGTCCAACGAGCTACCTGTGCCTATTGGATTGTTCGGAAAATAGCGTCGGACTTGTTATTTTGTCTTTATTCTATGTGTGTTTTGGCAATAGTTTTTGTTGCATGCTGAGCTATGACACGTCATTTAAAAGCTGGTTTTATGCACTTTCAGTGTGATTTAGCTGTAATGTTTGTTTCTAACAAGTTTTAAGGATTATAAATTTAGATGTTAGAAGAGAAATTTCGACAAATTTAATTCTACAAGTTGAGACTGTGACGTGAAGAAGCTCGAAAATGGTTGCCGAACTAGTTGAATGACAATCAAAGAAATAGTGCTGAGATGTCATTGACGTTTCTCTTGCGCAGTTAGGACGATCTGTCTCTCGATTGTATTATGACGTTCGTCGAGAAATGGATCCTTTATGATTCCAGCGCGACGTAACTCATCAGAGCTCTTTCCAATTTCTGGTTTCAAAGGCGAAATTTGCACCGATGGAAAGCCATGCGGCTTGCTGGATTTCTGCTGGTTTAATCCATCGTAGCTTTCTGAAACCGTTTAAAATGATTATGGCTGAAAAGTTGGTCCATCCAGAAACGAAAAGGAGCGGAAACTTCAACGGCGGGTCCTGGATCAAGAGAAAGCACCTGAAACTTTTTCGTCAAAAGCATTTAGAACGACGTTATGACAAGTATGTGATGCAGTATTTGTCTTGAGCGAGGAAAATCCATTAACTGCTCCCATGTAGGGAGGCGACAAATTGAATTTGCTAGTACTCGGACTGGTCGGTGATTAAAGGGCCTACGGAAGAGCTAACATGAGATAGAAGTGCTTTCCAAAATTGATTAGTATTTAACGCATATAAAGCACTGTTGTAATGCGGAATTTATGTTGTGCTTGGTTCTACCTAGTAGCTCCCATTTCCTTCGTTTGTGTTGTGCCCTTTAAGGTGATCGAAAAGAAAAACAGATGTGTAACTCGATGAATTAACCAACTAGAGGAGCAAGAGTTTTTTTCTATATTTTCAGCTGTTTATTACAAGATAAATGTGTATTGAATGGACCTACCTTTGTGAATCGGTCTGTCAGCGGTGTTCCACTTCCGACGTTTGTCACAAATTTCTTGGGAAAACGTTTCTCAGAAACTGTAAGTGCATCCTTTTCTATCACTTAGCTGATTTATCTAACCATTTTTGTCATTTTGGAGAGGTGCTACAACATTGATATTATGTATTCTTTATTGAGAAATTGCACACTTATTTGGTGTGAACAAGAGGCTTGCGAGTACGGGATTTGTACATTTTGGTGTTAATCACTTGAGTTTTTCCGCCATTACACCAAACAATTAGTTATTTAGTGATTTATTCATTTTAATTGGTTCACTTAAGCCCTTACTCGAACATACGATTGTGTGCTTAACAGAGCTGATTTAATGCAATGGAATATACTGATCTATGCTAGTTCACTTAAGACATTCATGGTCGGATAATGTTAAAAAATGTGCGTTATTTTATGTTTGCATTTGATTATAAATATAATATTTTCTAGATTCGAAGACGTGTCAATGGCGTATTAGGAAGGATTTCTAGAGAAGAATTAAAGGAATTATTGCGACGTGATATCCAGGCGATCGACGATGTACTTCAGGATAAGAAGTTCTTGTTTGGTCCTAAAATGACCGTTGTAAGCTGGTTGATGCATTTTACACTTTGTTTTGATGCCTCTGACCCCTTTATGGCGTTTTCTTTTTCTGAACAAAGATTTTTGGATTTAACTATTATAAGAATATGTTTCAACTGGAATATTATTTTACAACCGGATGGTCTTACTGGAATTCCAGACACCATCTCGAGCACTTTATAAACCGATTTTTCCCTAATCTCAATGTGAATGATCAATGTGCCTTCCTTCATTGATGAGCTAACACGAATTTGATAAAATAAACTGTTCGGCTAACGTTTTAACGTATTCGTTTCCTCAGAACCGATGACTCCAGTCGACGTCCACATTTCTTTTGAGGAAGACGACGACGTCGCTAGCGTTTTTTAAAAGGTTTATTTTGCCAACCTCATGTTAGCTCAACCACGAAAGAAGCTACTATTTGGAATGTTTCACAGAACCTAATTTAAAGTCTTTTTCAAGACGGACTGTGCTGTATTTGCTCAACTGGCCACAACCTTTTTTCTGCCGTATCGTCAACTTATCACGGATTTCCTTGAGGACGACTTTCCGCGAGTACGACATTATGTAGAAAGGATCAGAAACCATTATTATCCTGAGTGGAAATATAAGTAATCCTGGTACTGTTTATTATTTGCAGGAAATTAAACGGCTTAGCTATGCAATAAAATCTTTATGCCTAAAATTTTGCGGTATCATAGGTATTGCCAGATTTGTCATCCACTTGATTGCTCAAATGTAAGTGGTCGGTTTACGGATAGCATTCATAAATAAGTTGTTGATGAAAGTCTGTTAGGAGCTGAGGACTTACAAATTAAAGATATTTATTCATAGTTGAGCAAGTGGGTTTGTTCATTGTTAGGTAACTTTTGAACGTTTCGATTTGTACTGAAGTATTAGAGTGAGAACACTAGTTCAGTCGCCCACATATTCATTTGTACAAGGTGCTTCTGTACTTTTTCTGTTTATTTATACTACCATTTATGTGTGAAGAGTAATTCCTAGTTGGTATATAAGATATTAAATGCAATTTATATCTCTACAGTTTTTGATGTTTGAGATGCGTGTGTGTGTCCGTTTATGAAGCTCTCAATTTCTCTGTTTGCAAATCCACGCATTAACCAGGTGTGCAGGAAACCAAGTACAGTTTCATTTTGTACTTCGAGAGGTAGAAAGACTTGATTGTTCGGATTGTCTTCATTGTTTGTACGCCAATAGAAGCTCAAGTTTTTTAAAGGTTATGATACCGTAAAGTTAGGGAATTTTGGGTTTCTTTTCCTTTGTTCGAGACTCCATAAGTATCTTTACATGTAAAACTTAGGAATAAATCACGCAGGTCTGTAGTGAAATAGTTAATCTGACAGCTTTGTCGAGTGCTGTTCATAATACAACCACAAGATCGCTGCGATATTTGCAAAACTCCGGACCGCAGGTGTCTGCGGTGGGGAACGAATGGGCTATTGTCCTCTCCGGCGAGTAACGCGTTCACCACCGCACTATGCGTGTTCTTCGTTTCGCCTGTCTCTCAGCTAGTTCTATCGATCAGTGCCGTCAGCAATCACCCATCAACGGGATTGATCTGAGGAGCAGCCGGAGTTTTGCAAATATCTCAGCATTCTTTTGGTTTTATTTCACTTAATACTCAGCCATAAAAATTATAGAAGGCAGAAAATAGGAAGTGAAACGCTGTTCATAATTTTCTTTTCAACCGATATCTACTCACAAACGTTTTCGTCTTTAAGTTTCTCCTAAACATGGGCAATGTTTGTCATTATTTCATTCCTTTCCACATATGAAAGCTGGAAAACTTACTGAGCCTTCCTTCACAAATTTTTATGCAAGACAACGTGGCTAGAAGCGTTACGTCAAAATGACTGTTCAACGCTGAGCTGTTTTTAGTCCGCCATCTAACGAAGTTGCCCAGTAATCAAGTATTCGTTGTTTTATTTCGTTTAGTATTTCAAGGAATAACCATAGGTGCTCGCCTGCTTTTTGTAGATGGAATAATGTTTTTTTCTATTGAACACTTGTATGGACCCTCTTAATGAGTCGTACAGAGTTCATTTAGCGCGTTTTCCATTCTTTCGTTCCATTGATTCGTCATCGCGCTAAGGTCACATAGATTTTGTTGAGTAACCGTCTACTACTATTCCGTTGAATAAAATAAAATAAGAAGTAAAATGTTATGGAAAATCACTTCAGGAACTTCAGGAACGGATAGCACAGTGGTAGTGATGCCAGACATCACGAGCATGGTTCTAGTTCGATTTCGCACAGGACCAACCTAGCCTCTCTTCCCTCTGGGTCAGGAAATGGGTACCGGACTTGTCTAGGAAGAAGTCACTCTATGCAATCCAACTGGGAACGCTCGAGCCTGGCTATCTCAGGACTCCAAGGAGGATCGACTCGACCGGCATTCTAGGACAATCAAGATGAAATGAAATTGCTCAAGCACCAATCGAAACCAGACGTAAAAGTTGGAAGGTCTTCGTGGACAGTGGATGCGAGGAAACGAACCGAATGTGAGAAGTGCTGGGATTTGCACAGTAGATGTGGAGACGCGTCAAATAAAATGAAAAAAGCGGTAATTCCTAAGACCATGTTCCCACCAAACTTACCATTGATCAGTAAATTTATGCTTTCTTGATGAGCAGTGACAAGGTCATTAGTACATTGTTTACTTAATTCTAGCTAGCGTTTAATTTCAGAGGTTTTTGCCTTATTCAGAGCATGGGAAGGTCAAATTGGTACTCATTCCGCACAGCCAAATATTTTCATAACTAGTGCAGAAAGAACTCATAACCTAATTTCCAATCATATAAGAAACAGTTTCTCTAGACACTCACCGTTTGTGATAAATGTTGTACTTCTTGATGGAGATCCATTGAATAGGGTTTACATAAGCATGGTACGCGCCTGTCTCAGGTAAAAGGAATTACGCCTGAGGTGTGGGGCGTCATCACGCGTGGTTAGAAAACTCTCTGTGGTGTTGTACATAGAAGGTCATACAAGCGGATAAGAATCACCTGACAGCGCAGAATGCTTAGTGGCAGTTCAAGTTTAACCTCTGCTACTTCCAGATTTTTCCAGATCACTGATTTGTCTTTCTACTCATCACTTTGTAATTGTTCTCGGTTTCTTTTAAAGAAGGACCGGGCTAAACGGCATCTTTTACTAGCTAGACTTGTCGTTGAGCTCGTGATTTCCTTCTAAACCTATTCTGGGGTGCCCACTATTTCGTAGTCGTTGAAAACACACATTTGCTTCATGATGTTGAGTGGTTCCTTCTTCTGCTCTTTTCCTGTACACACTGTGGCTGTTCGGAATCGGAATATGTTTCTTACAAGCGCCCCGTTTATTTTTGAAGGCTGAGAGAAGAGGTAAAAGCTCTAAACAGAGCTCTGGGCGCAGATCAATCCCGGAGGGACGCGCCGTGCATTCGACTTCATTAAGTATCGTTAGTCGTAATCCATTGCATATCTGGTTTATAGAGTGACTTGTGGTTACCTACTGATCTATCGATTCAGTGCTGCTATTAATGCAAACAGGTCCCGCACTAATTTTCAGAGTCTGGAGAGATGGAAGATTTGGTTAGTTTGTGGTGCGGGATCGAAAGCGTGTGTGTAGGGGAGGGGACAGCGTTACACCCAGAAGAAAGGTAACGAGCCAGTAATCCTTTATTACTTGGCTTTCAGTACCACTTTGTTAGTAACCGTTTGGATAGGTTGATTTGAGCGTTAAAAAACGGAAGCCAGATTTTTTCCTGTTTCTTTCGCGTGGAATTCATGCGCACGTAGTGTTAAGATGGACTGGGATATGTATCAGCATTTGAGTGACTATTAGGCTTCAACACCGCTTTAATCCATCCATGAGCCCGTCTACACACCTGATAACGGATCACTCTGGAATAACTTTTAAAAAAGTCGGTTGTGCAAGTTACCGTTGTCAGAATTACTAAGGCATAAAAATACGAAACAAAAATGCTGTGAAATAAGACACAATAGTGCTGAGATATTTTCAAAACTCCAAACCGCAGGTGTTTGCGGTAGAGATCGAACCCACTCGTACTCTCTCCGGAGACTAACGTGTTCACTAGCACACCGTATGCGTCCTTCGTTTCGCCGTTCTTCCAGCTAGTTTTTCTATATACCAGTCAACGGGTGTTGATGGCACTGGTAGATAGAAAAACTGGCTCAGAGAAAGGCGAAACGAAGGGCACGCATGGTGTGGTGGTGAACAAGTTAGCTATGGAAAGGGTAAGCTTCGGTCGTATTTTAGTCTTTAGGTGTTATCAACAATCACCCATCAGTGGAATTGATCTAGGGGGCACAAATCGGAGCTGGACCCAGTTAAGCTGAAGCTGTAGTAAAAATCACAATGTAGTTATTTTTTATTCAAAATCACAGTGTTATCACAAAGATTTGTAAAAGATATAGACTGATGTGACAGCTTCATCGAATATTGTTTACAATAATCTTTGTCTTTCAACATCATCATGTAACAGTTTTGTTTTTAAGTTTCTTCTAAACATCAAGAGTCTTGTGGTGAATTACGTTCCTGCCCATATGTGGCGACTAAAGAACTTATTGAACATTTAATTACTTCATACATAACAAGTTAGCTTGAAGATTTGGTTTAAAATAGACTCTTCATCGCTAAATGATGGCTTGTTTTGAGTCTTTCAACTTACGACCCTGATCTCGTCCTGAAATTAAGTATTAGTTAAATTTCATCGTTAAGCATGTTAAAGAATGGACGCGTTACCCTTGGGGGGGGGGGGGGGGGGGGGTGGGAGGGGTAACCGCGCGTTCGCTCCTCACCGCAGACACCTGCGCTCCTGCGTTTTGCAGGTATCTTAGCAACATTGTGGTTGTATCACACATGATACCTTGCCATGAAAAATTGTAACAAGCAGAAAATAAACTGACATTATATTGGTTCGCTCGTTTCTCATAGATAAATTAATGTTTCTATTAATGAAATAGAAGAATCGTCTCCTAACTCCAGTCTGCTGTGAAATAAATGCATATGCCTTTCCGTCCCATTCGAGCGACTCCTTAGTTGACTACGGTATAACTGTAAGCGCCTTTCTCCAAATGATATCGTTTACACTCCGCTTTTCCTATTAAGATGGGAAGAGGTCGATTCAAATTTGTCTTAACTTCCTACTCATGCAAGGAAAAGGTCCTCATCATACACGACTTACCATTTCTTTGCACAATGGTATGAGCTCTTTTTTAGGGTGCATTGAATGAAATTCCTTCACAGAAGAGACTACAATGCAATCCACTGCAGAATAGTGGTGCTGTATTTTGGATGCACTGTCTCACGTTTGTGAAAGCATTAACTTCCCATGAGTTAAGTCCGCTAGGAAACTACAACTACACTGTCTAACGGCAGTTTCATTCTTTCGTGAAAGTGAATTTGTTAGGAATTTCAGGCTGATTAGTTTCCATTCTCACTTTGACTTGCTATTTCAAGCTTCCCAATTCCATGTCGTCTTTTAAGGGTGGGTGGTGCAGTGGTAGTGATCCCGAGGGTCACGAACACGGTGGTGGTTCTGTCCTGCTTCAGACTCACCAGTTCCTTCGGGGTTCGAAAATTGGTAGATAACTCGTATGTGACAATTTCACTCTTCGTAATCCATTTGGGAATGCTCCAGCCCGGTTATCTCAGGACACTAGGTAGAATTGCTCGACCAGCGTTCAACGACATTCATGACGAAAGGAAAATCCCGAAGCAACCGCCAAAGACATACGTAAAAAGTTGGAAGACTCTTGTCGACGATGGATTCGAGGAAACGAATCGAATGCGCGAAGTGATAGAATTGGTACAATAGATATGAAAGAGGGGTCGTGTAAAAAACAGTGCTATTTAATATCAGAGAGTGCCCATCCCTAAAGCAAATAAGGAATAAAGGTTTCCAAAGCATTTGAAGAACTCAAGCACTGTGTGCTATTCTTTACGACGTCGGACTCTGAGTCAACTGATAAGAAGCGATTAAATCTTTGTTTACGACGGGTTACATTGGCTCCAAACTAGAAACTTGTCCATGGCAGTTGTCAAATATTCAGTTGGCATTTATGACAAGCTGTGCAGTGCGCGTTACTGTCGTACCAAGTATCAGTTCTTTCTGAGGAAACTACGGTGGTGGTGAAGATGTAGAGTCGCACTCGTAAGTGATGATGAACTGGAGATTCTTTTCAACTCACTTAGACATCCACCGTTTCACAATAGCGTCATTGACTGCTAAAGTGCAAGTTTAGGCATATGATAAGTGTAAGCTAAGTAATTATCTCTCGAAAAAAGTAACCTGTAACGAAAGTTTGCAGATTTTGTTGGTCATTTTCAATGCACAGAAAGACCGCTGAAGAATGACTGACTAGCACGGAGTAGCCTGCTGAAACGAGAATGGGAGTCAACTTGTTTATCGTTGTAGCCAGCTTGTTTTTTGCGACAGTTCAAAAAAAGCGCTTTTTTGTATAGGTGCTATATAATGACAGGACGGAAACTAATAATGACCACATCATTAACGGCAGGAGCTGGAGTATACCTGACGCTTTATTATCCTATCTGCTCTAGCGCGACAATCACAGTGTGCTTCTTGAAAACATCAGATTACACAACATGCCGAAAAAGACTGCCATCAGAGAGAAGAACGCAAGACGACTACAACTTGAACACGGGTTTGAATTTTCTCATAAGACTAACATAATGAACAAATCCTTATGAAAACCTGAAAGCTAATTGCTTATTGAAGAGCTCTAACACATCAGCTCTCTGGTTAATAGTTCGAATCACACCATCACCACCTCAAAGAGGTACCGATAACAGAACAAGAATGATATTTGATTCGATTTCAACGCACGTGAAAAAACTAGTAGCGAATGGCAACTGAAGAATTGATAACGGAATAGGAATAATTCCTATTATCAGCACTGTCCATGTGACAGTGGTCGGAAGCGCCCTGCAACACCCACGTGGAATCGATCCCAGCGCCCATGGCCCACCAAGCCTTTCACCCCTCCGGCGGCAAATTGGTACCAGACTTGTCTGGGAGGGTAGCAGCACCGGCTGGATACATCAATAGATCATTGTGAGTCATTGTAAAGGCCAATTATGCATTCAGTCACCTCCGAACGGCTCGTAATAAGGTCTAGTACGTGGGGCATCTCCTAGGGATTTATCAACACCGACAGCTTCATCCTTTTTTTTATCAACTCCTCCGAACAATGGCGATTATTCACTACTATTTTCATCCAATTTGTGTGCTAGTGATAGCAAAGAAAGATAATTCAAACCACCCTCCCCTCAACCACAATGAACTCTTATCTTGCCAGACTCGGAAATCTCCACTCGCAAAGAAAGACCTCGGTTGTTTTCACCCAAAATTTAAGTTTGTGCCAAGGAAACAGATGCCGGGAACGCAATCATCTATACAGCTTCGTTTTCGCACGTTCTTAATGCTTCCTAGATGGCTATTATCTATCACTGTGCGGCTTATATTTTCGAGAGAAAAGTCATATCAGGCAACTAATAGTAAATTTATTAAGGATCTACTTCAATATCGAAACTGGTTGACACAAAACTAATCCTCTGAAGCTCACCCGTTTGTGCGAAAACATATGCCACCGATGTCGAAAGGCAATGCGTAATTTAAGGTCCTTTTTTAGGTGATAAGAAAGTTCATGAAAAGCATACCTAAGAATGAATGTGGTATAATGCTTGAGAAATGACATGCCTGATGTTCGGAGCAGAAGTCGCTCTTCTTTATTGTTCTCATGTGCGAATGGAGGATTTTCGTCGAAAGGAATAGCAGTTTTCTGAATCCAAATGATTAGGACAGTTATCACTTTCTGTAAACACAAAACCGGTACTATAAAAACGTAAAACGAACTACGTTGACCTACCTCTCACACGTTTGCACAAATCATTTCTTTTGATTTTGTTTTATCCTCGTCCGTGAGAAGGAGTCCGGCGTTTCCATCAGGAAAGCTGGCTAGGTGTAAACCAATACCAGGATCCACCAACGCCCTGGTATCAAAGTCGCATTGTGGCAAATCTCTCTGATCCACAAGGGCTGCGACTGCCTGCGGTGGTGAAGACCTGGGGTAGATTTTGGTCAGGCTGACCTCGGAAATCCGGAGAATCACAATGGCTTAACTAGCAAATCTCCAAAACGTGGAGATTATGCTGAGGCCAGCATAACCAGTGAGGACGGACTGTCGAAGTAGCAAGTAAGTATATCTTCGTCACGAGAGCATTTTCTCATCCAATAAATAACATCTTTTTTTGGATGCGTAGCTCTTCCTACCATTCCGTGACAAAAAATGTTCTCATATTCGAATCTGAGAAGTGGTCGTCACTTCATTTCGGAGTCTTTTTAGAGATAAATCTACGTTAGGAATTGTCGTCCTTCCAAACAAAGCCTCATTGCGAACCCATGGGCGTGGAGGCTACGAAAACCGTCTAAAAATCTATGAAAAGTTGTCCTTAGAACAGAATACCGTTAATGATAGTAAGTGCTGCTTAGTTACATAAGCACATTAGGTACAAGAGCAGCATAAGGTTAGTACATAGTTAAGCTCGACATTTCCACCTCCAAGTTTTGCTGAGTGTTAACTAATTCGATGGATGAGCACGGAGAGACTAGTGGTTACCTCATCACCAAAAACATGATAAAAAGGCTATCACGCAAAAATTGATACTTTTCATGTACTTTAAGCAAATAAAACCTATGAGAAGCTGTGATTCATTATGGAGATAAATGTTATTTACAAGCATCGACTCGATTTCTCAATGATAATCATACGAAGCTAGATCAGTTAAAGCTCAGTTTATGAGTACAGTCACTGAAGTGTATATGAATGAAACGTTGACCATCTTGATAAGAAAATAAAGGATAAAACTTTCGGCGTTGATCAATCCTTCAGGGATGGGCCATGCATTCGACTTCATTAACTGAATGCAAATCTCCCATTTTACAATAACTCGAGGTGGCCTATCGATGTATCGAGCCACTGTTGCTATCCTCTCAGACAAGTCTGGTAACTATTTACCGACTCTTTAGGGATGGAAGGCTCGGGTGAGCCACGGGTGTTGGGATCGATCCCACGTGTGTGTCGCAGGGCGTCTCCGGGCACTGCACCACACGCACCATAATGAAGTAGTGAAATCCGTATTGAATTTCTTAAACTAGATGATAGACATCACCTCGACACTTATCAGCTGTTCTTCGACGACGAATCCTGCACATCTGAGTGCACTATCCAAATCATCTAGCACCATTACCATTTCATCGATCGTATTACACCGTGACCTTCGTTCGTATTGAATTAATTCTCCAAAATTTATAAGCAATGTAAATATTAACTAATATATAGCGAGGACTTCAAATTCTCTGTACATGATCCGGTTAAATGGTTTGCTATGTTCTTGTCTAGGTAACAACTTTATAACAAGCCTTTAGAAGAAAGTTTTTGCATGCAAGTCGTCTATCGTGTCGTTCTTACCGTTCATTCCGATGCCGTTTTTGCAGAGATTCAGTAGGATGTTGCTGGTCTGCTTCCTTTCGAATATTGTTTATTCTGTTATGAGAAGATTCTGTAAAACAACATTGTTCTATAGTTTACAAGAAAATATAAAGTACTACTGGGTGAATATGCGTTGATGACGTCATGCCTTACGGGATTTCGTTTCCTTGGATTAGGTGAATACCTAAGAAGATGGCGTGCGGCACACGCACTGACGTTCGTTCGACCCCGCTATAAGTGAAACAACCCTTTTATCTCTTCAAAGTCGTTAGTTTTTTTTCGCAGAAAGGTTCCGTCCCATTACTAAAGACGAAGATTCTTATGCTGAAGACGTGAGAAATTGTACCAGAGTTTAAGGCAGTGTCAATGGGCATCAGTTGAGATTCGTGAAGAACACAAGGACTACAATTAGCAGTTGAACCGACACGTATATCCGCTTTCTGTGAATGGCAGATGCGAAACAATGAGCCGAGTAAAGGCAGTGCTGGATTTGCTAAAAAAAAATCTGTGGACGGAACACATTTTCACCCAACCTCTATGTTTTGTATTTTGGTAATGTCCTGGTTAAAAAGTAGTGTTCTCCGAAAACTGAGGTTCTAAGAACATCCTTACCACTTCAAGTAATCCATAGCTTACCAGTATCTCTTCGTTTTCCCCTGAAATTGTAGTCGATTGGTGGTTCGACTACTGGTGAGTAGTGAAAAACCGAAACAGACTGACGAATTGATTCAGAATATGGTGATGGGAAAACGTGAACACCGAACTCTTTCATTTTAGCGAGTTATCTGAAAGATAGCAGCTTAAATTTATGGCTGAGGTAACTGAGTTCATTTCTGTAAAGACAACACTTGAAATGACAATAAATGTGATTCTAAAAATTCGACTGTTTTTCTACACACAGCGTACGCTTAGACTCGTTCATAAAGCGTTAGTCGTTTTCTGTTAACTTACATTCAATAGGATAAGCAGAGGAAAAATGACGGGCTGCGTTGCACAGTTCCTAGCATGACACAGCTCTGTATAACTTAATGAACTGCTAGGTCCTAGATGCTTGCTGAAGGCTTTCCCAACACTACAACTGCAATGTTAACTTTTTATTTAGTGCGTATTACAGTTTTTCACCGACGGGTATTATGTGCGATACAACAACCACAGTGATGCTGAGATATTTGCAAAACTCCGGAACGCAAGTGTCTGCGGTGGGGAAAGAATGCGCTATTACCATTTCCGGAGACTAACGCGTTCACCAGCACACCATGCGGGTCCTTCGTTTCGCCCGTCTCCCAGCTAGTTCTGTCGATCAGTGCCATCAACAATCACCCGTAAATGGGATTGATTTGAGGAGCCAAATCGGCGATGAACCCAGTTAAGCTGAGGCTGTAATTTAAATTAAAATGTTAACTTTATTTACTATCTATTACAATTTCAAGTTCTATTACAATTTGAAATATCGCAGCGTCACTGTGGTTGTATCACTACAACTACACTTCTACTAATGTCAGCAGACCAGCTGGTAGTCCCTCCGTCTTAGAGTGAAAGAGCAGTCCTGTTGTTGACAGATGTTTGAGTTTGGTCACTTTGTGTCACTTTGACAGTCGAACAGTGGTCAGTTGACAGTTGTCATGGCCATCGAACAGCAATAACACTTTTTCTTGTTTCATTTGAGATTGTAATGAACAGAGTAGATTAGTAATCTCATGGTGATATATGGGATATGTACTATTAAGAATGAGGCCACACAAAAACAAGCCATAAACGGATAGAAACGTGAATAGCGATGAAAATGTGGCCGTTCATGATAGCGAGAGTTAACATTACTCTTATCAGGGGTTGTAAACAACTTCGAGTCAGTAATTTCGTGCCGAAGTCAATGTTATTGGGTTAAAAACAGCGTTTGGAGACGGCGTATTCTTGCAATGAAGCATACTGAAATGCAGTAGTCAGTCATATGTTTATCACTAGCCTCATTGCTAGCGTTTACTAAGTAAATGCTTAGCCAATAAGAACACTTCACTGTCTCTGGTGAAATTGGAAATTGCGTCATTGGCGAACTCTAGCTAGCGAATTTCGACTTTTTTATCGAAATGGAAGGGTTTTCGAAAGAAAATTTCTATTGGAAATTAAAAGCTTGTTCACTAAGTTAACTATACTCGTGAGAGTCAGGACATTCGAAAGGAGAATTGTCGCAGCATTAGCTAACACTGGATGTCCCCGATGTTCCTCTCTGCTACTGGTCAGATATAAAGGATAAAGGATAAAGCTCTTAGCGTTGATCAATCCCTACGGGATGCGCCATGAATTCGACTTCATTAAGTACCGTTGGAGGTGATTGAATGCATATGTGGCCTGTAAAATGACTTGCGGTGGCCTACCAATGTATCGAGCCAGTGCTGCTATCCTCCCAGACATATCTGGTACCAATTTACCGACCCCAGAGGAATGGAGGACTTGCTGGGCCATGGGCGCCAGGTTCAATTCCACGTGTGTTGCAGTGGCGTCTCCAACCACTGCGTCACACGCGCCAATCTCGTCAAATATAAAGAGGTTATATCATGGGCTTCTGCCAACTACTACTGCCATAGGACCTAATAAAATCTAAAAAGAGTCGTAATTTTTTTTATTTTGTACGACCCTTTCACAACTACCCTGCGGATTCCAGCACTTCTTGCATTCGATTCGTTTTCTCGCATCCAATCATCCACGACGGTTTTCCAGCTTTCACATGGTCGCTGGTTGACGGTTTTCACTTTGCCTTGGATGTCGTTGAATGCTGCTCGATTCGATTCTCTTTGGAGTCGTGAGATAGTCGGGCTGAAGCGTTCCCAGCTGGATTGCAGAAAGTGATTTTTTTAAAATCCGGTACCAATTTCTCGATCTTTGAGGAATTACAGGCTTGGTGAGCTCTGAGCGCGATCCAACGAGAACTGCACTCGTGATTATAGGTATCAGTACCACTGTATACCTCATAAAAAGAGCCATAACTTTTGTTAACTGGTAATTCTTCTTTCAACGCAGGGTACTATGTGAAATACAACCACAAGGATGCTGAGATCCGAGTAAAACTGAGAACCTGACATGGGCTTCGAGTTCGCGATTATCCTTTTCCATTGCTGTCGAAGAGTAATTGCTGATAGCACCGTTATAGTAAGAACTGGCTGGAAGGAAGGCAAAGCAAGGGGCTCGGTTTGTGTGGTGGATATCACGTGAGCCCATGGTGAGGGGCTATAGGGTTCGAAACCCTCTTGTGGTTCCTAATTTTATTCACATCTAAGCATTCCCGTGGTTAAACTTCAAAAGAGTGTCCTAAACGCAATACAGTTCTTCCTCAATGTGGTAACGTAGTATAAACGTTAAGACGTTATGTTGTTAAACAATGGAGGAACCTGCCTGAGCAGTTCCAACTTCGGCAAATTTTCCGAACTCTGGAAGGCAAGTTTCGGAGCAAGAGTGATCAACCCATTTTCTTCTATGAGGAAGCACTACTCGAAAAGAAATTTGAGCCAAGAGTATTAAAAAACAACTACTGATTATGATGATTACATTGTAGACTGGTGTCTTTTCAGAAAACTTATGAAGTGTTCCTCACAACGGTTTACCACGTCATCGTGGCTGGAAGGTGTTCCTGAGTATCGGACTGCGACGTACAGCAGGGGAATTCGTTCCCCCGGCAGGGTCTCCATAACTGAGAACTTCGGCGTTTCTATCAGGAAGCCTAGCTAAGAGTAAACCAGTTCCAGGACCCACAACCGTCTTGGTATCAAACTAATCACATAGTGGCAAATCTCTCTCTGATCCACAATGGTTGCGACTGCTTGTGGTGGAGAAGACCTGGAACAGTATTTAGTCAGACTCACCTGGGGTTCCAGGGAACCACAATGGCTTATCCAGCAAATCTCTGAGAAATGGTGATTATGCTGGGGCCCACACATGCAGTGAGGACGGGCCGTTCAAATAGGTAAATAAGTATGAGGTGTTAAAAAATTTGAGCGGAGAGGTCGGTGTTTCTTTTTCAGTGTGGTGTTAATGGTTCAAGGAAATTATTCAACATTTCCATCAGATCGTCGAATTTTTAAGAAAGGAAAGAGAACACGTTTCGTCTCTAAACTTGATAGCTTTTAAAAATGAGATACTCGGAAACTCATTATTGCAAGTTTCAGCGCTTAGTCTTCCGTTTCATTATTATTACTATCGCAGCCGTCAATTTTACTAATTTTGCTTTTATTGTGATTTACTTATTTATTTTACTTGTTCCCTCTTCACGTCTACTGTGCAGATCCCAGCACTTCTCACATCCAATTCGTTTCCTCGCTTCCATTGTTCGCGAAGATCTTCCAACTTTAAGTGTGGCTTCGGTTGCTGCCTGAGCACTTTCATTTCATCGTGAACGTCGTGGAGTTCTGGTCGAGCACTTCTTCCTGATATAGTCGGGCTGCAGCATTGGCAATTGAATTGCAGAGAGCGATTTTTTCCCAGACAACGCCGGTACCAATCTCCCGACCTCGGAGAGATGAGAGGCTTGGTTGGCTACGGAACGGAATCGAATTAGCACCATGCTCGTGATGACGTTCATCACTACCACTGTGTTATGGGCCGCTTGTTTTCATCTTAAGTCCTTAAAATTTTGCTCTGTTCACGTTATATAAGGTCGCGCAAAGCCGAAGTGGAACCGAGTTTCTAATAGTAAAACTTTTCAAATTCTTCTCACAACTTTTTTCTAAACAATGTTCTAACCGTGTTGGTTACCAGTTTTAGCAATGGTTTTTAATTATTTGGACATCAAACGACATTGAAGAGATACTTGTAGATCTCCAGTTGCCTCGGCCATCTGAGGAGATTTGGGTCAGTGCTAGGCGACATCAATATTTTTGAAATGTATCTTGCGACATTTTTTTTCGTAGGTATTTCTCAGGGGGTGTAAAGTGGTTATAGGTGTTCCACAATACACGAAGGGTGTTTGGTTCAAGCTCGCGCCTCGAGCCAGCCATGCCATCTATCCATTCGATGCTAGTGCATTTTGGTATAACTGACTGAATACTTCAATGATGTTGAGATATTTGCAAAATTCCGGACCGCAGGTGTCTGCGATGGGGAAGGAACGCGCTATTACCCTTTCCGCAGCTAGCGCGTTCACCACAACACCATGCAGGTTCTTCGTTTCGCCTGTCTCTCAGCTAGTTCTATCGATCACTGCCATCAGCAGTCGCCCGCTGGCGGGATTGATCTGGGAAGCCCAAATCGGCAATGAACTTAGTTAAGCAGAGGCTGTAGTTATAATAGCAATTTTAACTTATTATTAAATGCACACATGGAATCGGATCTTCTTCAGTGGAGCTTCAGTTTGAATGAGGTCATCAAAGCCGGCAGCTCTCTTTTACAGAGGACAGTTGCTGTTTATAATGATTTCGACAAGAGTTGACAAAAATTTGCTTTTTAACACACAAACCGTCCTACAGCTGTCGTTATCAGAAAAGCTTACACGTAGCGAAGTAATACTATTGTGAAGTGACTTTCATTTAACCAACGTATGAATGAGCAGTGTACCTCGTGTTAACCCTTGGTAGCTTGCCAGTGAAGTAAGGTGCATTGATCATTCACAGGGAGGCTAAATAGAAGTAGGTTTACAATAGTATGATTGGATAGACTTGGTAGGTAAGCGCGAGTCATTGTGGAGACCAAATATGTATTCAATCCATCGCCTCTAAAGTCCTACTAATGGATTCGAATGCGTAGCGAACCTGTCTAAAATTTCCAGCGTCGAGCATTTTATTATTT